AGTGGTTTGACACAAACTAGTAAGTGGCGGCAGATTTCAAATTGGGATTTAAGATCTGGCTGGTTTATTTAATTTATTATTATTTTTTTTGACTGAAGTGGTTGAGTTTTATGTGTTGATGTAGCCACTACATTGTCCCTGAATTGGCACCGGAAACCAAATTCTCTTATGCGTCTCACAAGGCTGTTTGTGAATTCAAGGAGGCTAAGGCGGTCAGTATTTTCTTCCAACTTTGTTTTGTTTATTTATGTTGGCAATTTATCTTTTTAGGTGTTAAAATTAAGTTTAAGGTGAGCATATTTTGTTAAGTATGAAGTGGAGACTTTTGCTAAGTTCTTAAAATTAGATATTCAATTTTATTTCAAAGCTGAAAGGATTTAGTTTTATAGGTGCAAGAGATTTCTCATATAACCTTGAAAATTATATGATGTTTAGATTTATTATTTTGAATTTAGATCTGTCACATAAAGTTTATGGTTTTGAATACCTTAGTATTTATTTGCCCTGTAGAAAAAGAAAAGTAGTTATTGATTGTGAAGTTGTACATTAGGATTTATTGTTTTTTCATGGAGGATTACTTGTACTTCTTACACCGAATGTTGATATAAAGTTAAATGCAAAATGGTTTTGATGTTCTGTCTTTTACTATGATTGACTTTTAACTTTACATCTGATTGTCAAGCTTTTAAGATACTGAATTACTTGTCTCCCATGCAGCTTGGAGTAGAGACTGTTCCAGTCATTGTTGGCCCTGTGTCTTACTTGTTGCTCTCTAAACCAAGCAAGGGTGTTGAGAAGTCCTTCTCTCTTCTCTCCCTTCTCCCCAAAATCCTTCCTGTCTACAAGTAAGAAAATTTAACCTTTTTAAAAATATTTAAACCTATAAATACTTGTATGTATATATGTTTTAACTTATTTAATTTGCATGGTAATAATAAAAACTTCTACAGGGAAGTTATTTCTGAGCTTAAAGCTGCTGGTGCCACATGGATTCAGTTTGATGAACCCATGCTTGTTATGGATCTTGAATCTCACAAATTGCAAGCATTCACTGAGGCCTATGCTGAATTGGAATCAACTCTCTCTGGCTTGAACGTTCTCGTTGAGACCTACTTTGCTGACATTCCTGCTGAGGCATTCAAGACCCTCACTGGTTTGAAGGGTGTCACTGCCTATGGTTTTGATTTGGTTCGTGGAACTAAGACCCTTGACCTGATCAAGGGTGGATTCCCTCATGGAAAATACCTCTTTGCTGGAGTGGTTGATGGAAGGAACATTTGGGCCAATGATCTTGCTGCTTCACTGAGCACCCTGCAGGAACTTGAGGGCATTGTGGGCAAAGGTATTCATATTTTACTTGCATTTTGTTTTACATGGTGATAAATATATTTTCTAATAAGAATTTGATATATAATTGTTACTTTTACTGTGCAGACAAGCTTGTTGTCTCCACCTCCAGTTCGCTTCTCCACACAGCTGTTGATCTAGTTAACGAGCCTAAGCTGGACAAGGAAATCAAGTCATGGCTCGCATTTGCTGCCCAGAAAGTTGTTGAAGTCAATGCACTGGCCAAGGCTTTGGCTGGTCAGAAGGATGAGGTATCATTCTCTTTCAAAATGTTATAAGAATTGACCAGATACTTAACTATCATGTGTCATTACTCACTCTTTGTGGCCTTATTTTTAGGCATTCTTCTCTTCCAATGCTGCTGCTCAGGCTTCAAGGAAATCCTCCCCAAGGGTGACCAATGAAGCAGTTCAAAAGGCTGTAAGTGCTTCATTTATGTTGCCATTTTTGTGCTTTTAAATTGACTGATCCATAGAGTAGCATTTTGTAGATATTAATTCACCTTTATTGCTTTCTCAGGCTGCTGCTTTGAAGGGTTCAGACCACCGACGTGCTACCAATGTTAGTGCTAGATTGGATGCTCAACAGAAGAAGCTTAATCTTCCAGTCCTCCCAACCACCACCATTGGGTCCTTCCCACAAACTATTGAACTTAGGAGAGTTCGCCGTGAATACAAGGCTAAGAAGTGAGTGAATATGAAAATTTTCATCATTCTACATTATTTGTGAAATTGCGTTCAACCTTGCATGTATTGATGCCCTGATCATGCTGTGCTTAGGATCTCTGAGGAGGTATATGTTAATGCCATCAAGGAGGAAATCAGCAAAGTTGTCAAACTCCAAGAAGACCTTGATATTGATGTCCTGGTTCACGGAGAGCCTGAGGTGAGCTTCCCTCTGATTGTGGAGGAAAAGCAATAGATGTTTCCCTTGGTTTTGATTTTTCAAGGAATTTCTTACATTCGGTCCTTTCATCTTCTATTCACAAGTAATTTTGTTGCATCTCCTACTGAGACATTTATTTTTGTAGAGGAACGATATGGTTGAGTACTTTGGAGAGCAGTTGTCTGGTTTTGCCTTCACCGCTAATGGATGGGTGCAATCCTATGGATCTCGTTGTGTGAAGCCACCAATCATCTATGGTGATGTGAGCCGCCCCAAAGCTATGACTGTCTTCTGGTCCTCAATGGCTCAAAGCATGACTGCTCGCACGATGAAGGGAATGCTTACTGGCCCTGTTACTATTCTCAACTGGTCCTTTGTCCGTAATGACCAGCCCAGGTATAGACAATGAAAACGAGTAGAAGAGATAAAAGATACAAAAGAAGAAAAATGAAATTTTATGTTTGTTAGACTTCTGTAATTGCTATATTGTTTAACATAAATCTCTGCCAATTATCCAGATTTGAGACCTGCTACCAGATTGCTTTGGCTATGAAGGATGAAGTTGAGGATCTTGAGAAGGCTGGCATCAATGTTATCCAAATTGATGAGGCTGCTTTGAGAGAAGGATTGCCTCTTAGGAAATCAGAACATGCTTTCTACTTGGAATGGGCTGTCCACTCCTTCAGGATCACCAATGTCGGTGTCCAGGACACTACCCAGGTTGGTTTCCCCCCATTATCAAAATTTCATATTTCAAATTTAGTTCTGGAACTTCTATCTCATCTTTTTTTTTCAACAACTTACAGATCCACACTCACATGTGCTACTCTCACTTCAACGACATTATTCACTCCATCATTGACATGGATGCTGATGTGATTACCATTGAGAACTCTCGTTCTGATGAGAAGCTCCTTTCAGTCTTCCGTGAGGGAGTTAAGTACGGTGCTGGAATTGGCCCTGGTGTCTACGACATCCACTCTCCTAGAATACCATCAGCTGAAGAGATTGCCGACAGAATCAACAAGATGCTTGCAGTGCTTGAAAGCAACATCTTGTGGGTGAACCCCGACTGTGGTCTCAAGACTCGCAAGTACTCTGAGGTGAAGCCTGCCTTGAAGAACATGGTTGCTGCTGCCAAGCTCCTCCGCACCCAGCTTGCCAGCGCCAAGTGAATGGTTCAGGAGATAGGGGTTTAATCCCCTCCCCAAGATTGTCGATTCTTACTCCAAACAAAGAAAAAGAAATTCCTGCCTTAATATTTGAATAACTGGTTCATGATGAAAAAAAGTTTTAGTAGGCATATAATGTGCCCTTGGGAGTTGGGGGCTATTGATTTCTCTTTTTTGGCTGGTTTTTTTTTGTGTTTTTATAATATTTTGTATTCTGCGACTATGCCCAAATTGCGTAGTGCACCTCTGCGGATGAAAAATTAATGGAATTGCTTTACCAGTTTGTGCATTTACTTCATTACGTGCATTTCTGTTCTCCTTTCTTGGTGAAGTTTAAAGTGTACTGGAAATTTGGAATCAAGCTTTTTCCATAAGCATCTCTAGTAAATGCCATCCATTAGTAATTATAGCACTTAATTAAATCTCAAATAATAACTTTTAATTCCTAACTAACCTTGTTGAAATAAGAAATCAGTTTAATTATATATTTTGAAAAACAGTTTAAAAAATAAAAATTCAAAACAATCCCATCATATTTAAGAAGCCATAAACAACATCAATTCAATCAACACATAATTTTATAGGTAAAAATAGAAAAGCAAAATTCTAGAATTGTTGTATATATATGATGTTTCAAAAAGTGAATTATTTATTATTGAATTTGAATTAATATTTTTCTACAAATTCTCTTTTATTATAACCATTTCTTTATATGAATAATTGCTTTTTTAGTTTCTTGGTCAATCAATCAATTTCATCATAGTTGGTCAAAAGAAGTTTTTATTTTTATTTTTATTTTTTTTTTTTTGTGCAAGCCCGAGCTATCCCCACACCCACACCCGAAAGTATGAGATGAGTCCTCATTTCGGGGTTGACATAGTATGTAAAGTCCGCCCATTGGAAGTCCATTTATACCACAATGGTTTTTTTATCTTTCATTTTAATGCTTTGTAACCCAACTCAATGTTTTACATAAAATTTGACATAATTTTTAAGTTTCTAAATTAATAAATGTAATTGATCGATGGAAATTGAAATTTAATTTTTCCCCTTTTTAGATGTATTAATAATAAAATTTATATTGACTACCAATATTTTAAAATTCGTTAAATCAATATTAAACTAATATGTAAAAAAACAAAATAAGATGTAAATATTCATATAATTTCACGTTTTCTTGAGGTTGTTAAATGTCCTCTATATAAATAAGAAATTTTATAATACGTAATTCTCCAATGAAAAATATCTTTAATTAATAACCTTAAGGGTTGACTAAGTAGTTAAGAAGGTTTGTTCCATTTTTTTATCTTTTAGGTTTAAACTTTAAAATCATTTATTATAATAATATTATGACTTATTGGTTCTTTGACCTTGTAAAGTGTTCAATAGACCTGGAGATTAGTTGAAGTGCAGATAAGCTGGTTAGATGTCCGGTTATAAAAAAAAAATAAAAAAACCATTAATTAATTAAATCAAGATCTAAAGTTAATTTGTAAATTTGAATCTAATAACTGGCGCAATTACCAAACGGTCCTTACCAACATTCCCTCTCTATAAATAAATATTTTAGAACTAGTTTTCAAAACCAAAACTGTCTCCATAAACCAGAAGCAAAAACAGTGAAAAATAATGTACAAGTCACGGCTTCAAGAGCTCTGTCACCAGCGATCATTCAACTTACCGGAATACACGTCAACCAAACAGGGCCCGGACCACAACCCTCGCTTTCAAGCTACTGTTACCGTCAACGACATCCTTTTCACCACTCCCAATCTCTGCAGATCATCCAAGGAGGCCCAAAACACCGCCGCCCGACTCGCTTTTGAACACTTCTCTTCTTCTCAGCCCGCCGTTTCATCCTCTTCTGGTAATGTTGCATGTTAATGATTAACTGAATGGATTGATTGTGTTTTGAAGAATTTGTGTTTTGGACTCTGTTTGGCTGGCGAGAAAACGCTGGAAAATTATGGAGTTGAGTTGAGGATTGTTGTGTAAATGTGTGTTTAAGGTTTTGTTGTAAAATATAGAAGTGTGAATGTTACGTTTCTTTTGTTGTAATGCATGGAATTAGGATATCGTTTAATTTTATGTTGCTGTTCTAAAGACAATTGCACGTTTGTTGGGAGATTTCACTTCTTGTTAAAGGTAACATGGTTTTGCTAGTAGCCAACGCCTACCCGTCAATAGCTGTATATGTATTTTGGATGCTTGTAATTTGGGCATTAGAAATTTTGATGAAATACATATTGCCTTGGGCTTAAATAACTGGAATTAACCTCATTTTAAACTAATAACATGATTAATTGATTGCTTTTTTTTTCAATTATGGTTTCTCATTGCATCTTTGTAATGGAAAATCCTGATATCATTAATTACTGTGATGTGAATTAATGTATATTATGATTTCTAGATATTTCTTATTCAACAGAGTTGATTGATTGATATTTTGTTGTCTATTTATACTATTTGTATTGCAAATTTAGATATTTCCATGCAGCATTAGGTTGCTGTACCATATTATGACATTTAAAATATGGATAAATTGACAAAACAATTAGGTAGTAATGAGTGTTGATATTTTGTGAACTGAAGAAGAACCCAATATTATTGTTTTGCATCAGTTTTCCTAATTACCTTGTTTGCTTGAATAGTTTACCCTGTCATTGTGTTGAGTTGGAATAATTTCTGTAGGATCTTCAAGTGCTAGCTCAGTGCTAATTAATGTGCCACAAACAGATCAAAGTCCTCAAGTCAGTGCAACCACCTCAGTGGTCAAAGATGATTACAGATTTAGAGGTTAGAAAATTAATTTCATTTATCTTATCTGTACTTTCTTATTTTCTTAAATGGTAATTTGCTTTATTTATATTGGTTCAATATTGATTTATGGTGCATGCATTACTCCATATGGGAAGCAGGTCAAACTCCTCAAGTTGATGCAGCCACCTCAAGTGGCAAAGATGTTTTTGGATCAAGAGGTAATAAAAGTTTTTCAGTAATCATCTTCCCTTGCCCTTAATTTTTTTTATTTTTTATTTTTATTTATTTTTATTTTATTTTTTTTTAATAGAAGGTTGCTATAATATTCTTTAGCTTCATTAGTTCTGGCCTGATACTGATTTTTGATTCATTCATTATTGCATGAGAAACAGATGAAACTGCTCTTTTCAATGCAAACTCCTTAGTGGTCAAAGATGTTTGCAGATCAAGAGGTCAGAGAAGTAATTTAAATAATCATGTCTTTTCAAATGCTTTTTTTCTTTATTATATATGTTGCTACATTAATTCTGGTATAGTAATGATTGGTCATCTAGTCGTTAGTGAATTCAGTGTACTTTCTTGTTATATTATTGTCAAGTGATAATGGAAACAAGGCCTTGACAGTAATGTGAGGGAAAAGATGAATTGTTGAATTGACTTACTTCCAATTTGTTAATGTCAAATCTAATTATAATACAAAAAAGGACTAAAATTTTAAACTGCAAGGGCACAGGTTTGAGTCTTGAGAGTTGACCCTGCTTTGGTTGGACCAATGGTGGCGGATGACTTATATTTGGGTGTGGTTTTCTTTTTTCCTTTTTTATTTTTTCAATACGTGGTGAAATTTTGATTTTGTGAGAATGAGAAAAATTATTTGTGATAAAAGATAGTGTTATTAGTGGTAAAATTTTGTGTTTGGTTTTGTTTTTTGGTGTTTTGGTTGGGAATGATGGAGCGTGTTATTGGAGTTGATCTTGTATCCCTGTGTGAGGGCTTGGTTGATAAGCATATATTGTTCTGCATGTGTTTATGATACCATTTAACTATAGGGTTCTGTTACCAAACAAATTGCATATATCTGGGAAGATATCACTCATTAAAAATTACATGGCTTTGATTTTCTTTTTCTTCTGATAATATTGTTGGTTGTGTATCTGAATCTTGTGTATGATATTCTGTATATTGTACTATTGTTAAATGGTTGCTATGTTTCAAGTTATTCATGGTTTATCCATGAATTTTCGAGTTCCATTTGGGTTCTTTTTTTAATTTTTTTGGATTTGACATTGTCAGAGAGGTACTATGATAGCTTTTCTTTTCGCGTTTTAATTCGTCACATTTGCTAGGCCATAGCTGTATGTGTTTTGGATGCTTATAGTTTTGGCTTTGCAATGATGAAATATGTAGTGCTCTTGGGGTGAATGACATGCTTAGGATCTTAATCTCATTTTTCAACTGATATCCTGATTAATTGAGTGCTGTTTGTAAATTATGCCCTCTTCATTGCACCTTTTATATTCAAATTATTGATATTATTGGTTACTGTGTTTTGGTAAATAGGAGTGCTGATAATTGTGTGTTCTAATACAATTTGTTTTGCAAGTTTAGCTATTTCCATTTAGCATTGGTTTCTGTATTGTATAACATTTTTATAAGGTCCAAACATCGTTTATAATGCCTTTAGTTCCATGATTATAGGCTTGAAACAGGTTTCCATGATTACCATGTTTGTCTTGAAAAGTTTACCTTGAATTTATTTAGTATTGTTTAATTTCTGTAGGGTCAGCAAGTGCTAGTACATTGCAAATGAATATACAACAAACAGATCAAACTCCTCAGGTTAGTGCAGCAACCTCGGTCATCAAAGATGATAACAGATTAAGAGGTTAGAAGTGAAACTTTAGTTATCATATCTGTTATGCTTATTTCTTGAAAAAATATTTGCTTCATTAGTTATGGTCCAATAAATATGATGCATTAATTACTGTGTATGAGAATCAGGTCAAACTCCTCAAGTCAATGCAGCCACCTTAATTGGGAACGACGTTTACGGATCAAGAGGTTAGATAGTTAATTTAAATAATCATTTCTATTCTTATTTTTTCTATTTGTTGTTTGATTCAGTAGTTGTGGACAGAAATTTGAGTTTTAATGCATCCATTATTACATATGAGAAACAGATCAAACTCCTCTGGTCAATGCAACCTCCTCAGTTGTCAAAGATGTTTGCAGATCAAGAGGTCAGAGAAGTAATTTAAAATAATTGTAGCTTATCCTTGGTTTCTTTTAAAGATGGGTCACTTTATTAGTTCTGTTACAATAATGATTGGTCATCTATTCATTAATGCATTTTATATATCAACTTCTCTGTTGTGGCCCTGTCAAAAGATTATGAAGAAAGGCCTTAGATTTCATGCATAAGGGGAAAGATGGAGTGTATGTCATGAATTACTGAGAAGGCCTACTTCCAATTTGTTAATGTCCAAACTTACCGTATGATATATGCTCCTGGTCCTTTTATAGTCCTGGGAAGTTGTAATTTACAACTTTATTTGTTTTGGAGTTTCGTATGTTTTCTGTATTGTACTTTCCAATTAAGTTTAGATTGGTTTGAATGTCTTGATTGTTTTCTTCCTAGCCTTTAGTTTTTATGTTTTGTGCTTGTTAAGTATCAGATAGCAAATGCCTACATAGTTGCATATACAAAAACTTGGTTGGACCCTGCCATGTTTGAGAATAATTACCGTGATTTGTATTGTGTTTATGACAGCAATTAATTGCTAAGAATTAATGCCATGTTTGATCATAGTTATGCCATTTCAGAATATTATTAATAACATGCAATTTTGGGGAGCTCTAAGTTAATCTGGGATGTGAACAATAGAATATAATTGGTTTTTGGTCTTTCAATGCACACCTTATTTGTAATTTCTCTACATTGAGCCTACATTGAGCCTCGAGAGAGCAAAATTAAGTAATAGAATCTTAGAAAAAAAAAAAAAAAAAGAAATAGATGAAAGAATATTTGAAATAGGTGGTATTGACACTTGAATTTATCAGTACCTGTACAACCATATATCAATCATTCTTGTTTGAGAGCAGAGGCGGAGCCAGAGGGTGCTTCCCCAAGCTCCAGCCCTGGTGACATTTTTGAAACTTTTTTTGTATTATATTATATAAATTCATAATAATTTTACATCCTATTATTTTAATTATGTTAAAACTTCTATTAATCATAATAAATAATTATAATGTTCTAATATTTTGAATTTTTTTACAAAATTCAACATGTACTCTCTTCTCTTATTGCTACACCACTCTTTCGCTATTTTTAAATAAATTTTGTTTATTTCTTTATCTATTACGTACTATTGTTATATCAACAACATTAATAAGTTTTTTTATGTATATTTAAATTTTCTTCAACCCTCTCGAAAATAATTTTCTGGTTTCGCCCCTGTTTGGGAGTGACAATTTGGATCTGCACAGTTAGAGCCTTTGAGCTGATTCTGGTAACTATTTCATCTAATGAATAGGGAACATGGTGGGGTTGTGGTAAAGACAGATTTATTCGTTCCTACCCTGCCTTTGATTTACTTGTAATAAACACCTTTAAGAATATCTAAAACAATGACACATAAACAGAGTTAAGTTTTATGTTTTCATCTCTTTCTCCCTTTCCTCATCTCTTATCTCTCATGTTGAGGTGTCTTTGGCACTGGAAAACCTAAATTTCTCTTCCCCAAATTCATTTATACTTCAACTATCACAACATTTTGTGGTTTGATGGACAGTTTTGTGTAACAGTTGTGGTTTTGGGGGGTTTAATTGGCTTGATTGGTATTCGTTCATCTGTTCAATTTTTTTTATTTGGTTTAATATGAGTACTTTGCTTGCATTGTTCAGAACTTGATGGCTACTTAGTGATATTCTTATTGATGAACATTTTTTGCTTTATTTTTCTTGTATGGGGATGGCAATAGGCTGTTTGTGGTTGGGGCTCCACCCCATCCTCAGTTTGATCCCTCAGGGGCATGGATTCCTTAAATTGATAAATGCATCCTCACTGCCTTAGTCTATCCTCGTTATCAAATTCTTTGTGGAGTTTGATTGGGCTGCCATTTGTTTTATTGTGTGAATTTTCTTGATAAATTTACCATTCACAGACATCTTTGTGAGCTATGTCAAATGAGAGTTCGAAATTAGGATTCTAAATTTTTTTTTTTTCTATTTTAATAAAATTTTCTCATACTTTTGGGGCAGGCTGGGACTTGGAGCATTCTCCCAATACCTGCTCTGGAAATTTTTTAGTGGCAGGCGGGGATGTGGAGCATTCTCCTCATCCCTGCCCCGAAAAAATTTAGGGGCCAAGATATTATCTCTGGTTCTGTACTTTCACCTCTGCAAAAGGTGGGCTCCTGCAGGGAATTTCACAATTTTTAGTTGCTGCACTGTAGTTGAATTGATTAATTGATTGGACAGGGGCAGGTTGAGGATGGGGATTTCTGTTTTACCATGCCGCAGGTATTGGTAAAGGTGGGACTCCCTGCTTTTGGGGTATGGGGTGGGAAGAAGGATAAGACCCTTGCCCCAAACTGCTATTTTGGTTGATATGACATCCCACTCTATTCCTGGATATTGAACATGCAAATTCTGTGTTTCCCTTTGAGCTAACAATAGATAAATAAAAAAGCAAATTGAGGAACTACATATTTATATTTTCAGTGACAATTAACATTGTGACTTTTAGTCATTTTCTTTTGAATTCTAGATACGTTACACCTGTACAAGAACCAGCTACAAAGCTATGCGCAAAAGAGAAATCTTGCATTTCCTATATATTCTTGTGAGCGGGAAGGTCCTCCTCATGCTAGTTGCTTTAAGTGTAAGGTCACAGTTGGTGGACAGAGTTACGAGTGTCAGGAGTTTTTCCCCACATTAAAGGAAGCTGAGCATGGAGCAGCAAAAGTTGCTCTAATGTCATTGTCTTCAGATGGAGTTCAAGAGGTAAGTCATCTAGTTACTTAAATGTCATATTTAGGGGTTTTAGTGTATACATATATTTCTTATTTGTGAATATATATGTTATTTATACTTTTCCAGGATGAGTCTGGTTTCTACAAGAACCTTTTACAAGAATTGGCTCAGAAAGAAGGTTATGCTTTGCCTGTTTATCATACAAATCGAACTGGTGAAGCTCACGCACCAACTTTTGTTTCAACTGTTGAGGTAGAAGCAGAAGTTTTTACTGGGCAGGAAGCAAAGACGAAGAAGCAGGCTGAGATGAGTGCAGCAAAAGTTGCTTACCTGACTCTCAAAGAACGTATGTGCATGTTTATGTTTCTTTTTCACTTTCTTATGCAGTTATTTATTAAAAGGTTGATGTCATCCCTGGGTTACTTTTCTTTTCTTTTCTAATTTATGCTTGTATCTAAAATATGTATATGCATAATAAATTGACCCATGTAAAACACTGAATCATTGGAAGTGAGCGCATAAGTGATTGAGTGCTTGAATATCAAGAGGTAGGTTCATGCGCAATAATTTTTTTTTTTTAGGGCAAGAAATATGCTCACTTCATTTCTCAACAAATGCATGTACATTGAAAAATCTGATTGCTGTGTGATACTGTTCTACATTATATTAAATTAATAGAATTGAGCTCAATGTTTGATCTAGTAGTTCAAGTTACCTTGGTGTGTAGGGGGGTAATGCACTAATATTCTGTTAGATGACCAAATCTCAAAGGGCCCATTTGGCAGACAGAGTTCTACTGGACAAAAGCCACAAATTGACTGTGGCTTTTGGAATTTAGTTGGTCTATATGTAATTGAAGCTGCATTCAGTATAATAAAATTTAAAGGCATTTACAGGATGAAGATATATTATTGTCCATAAATGATTTCTGTCAGAATGAGGTGTAGCTTTAGATGTGTTGCAGTGAAGTGAAATAGTGAATTGAAATTATATGCATTGTGAAGAACTGGAATTGAGAATTACAGAGGACTGTGTGAGAGTTACATTTTGAAACACAGACGAGTTGCTACTTTAGTGCCAAAAGACATATCCAGCTGAAGTTAAGCCTAGGGGAAGTTGAATACTAATAGGGGTAAGAGGCTATTTTGAGTTGACTTTAGTTGGTCTCATGGTTTAGGTGAACTTAAAATTTAACGAAATAGCCTCTTCATGTACAAATGGCAGAGATTTGTATTACTAGAGCTAAACAAACTTCTGTAGTACATACCCATCTGGTGATCAGATTGAAATTATAATAACCACCGAGGGGGCAAGTTCTATGAAAAATTATTCTTGTTTAACAAATCCTCTGAGAAATATATGCAACAATAATTATATACTCTTATATCAGCCTCTAGTTCTTACCAAATTACAAATATTAGAAGTGAAAGTTAATGTATTGGCTTACACGAAAATTGTTGTTCTTAATACTTGTTTAGGAGTGAAGTCAGTCTATTACACAGTGTTTGACTATTCATTATGCCTTAATGTCCAGGTAAACCAACTCAGAGGCCAACAGTTCTTTCAGCAGCCATCCAAGCACAAGCTGACTACAAATATTCCAGCTTGCAATCAAATTTAACTAATGATGTTCATCATAAGAACCAACCTACAGGTCACGTGGTACTTAATCAAAGTTCAGTTGAAGCTGAAGAGGGTAGAGGTGTGGACTTTTTCGTGAATCTTTATAGAACATACCATTATAGCATTATCATTTTGCCTGTCAATTAAATCTGACAACCCTTGGATACAGTCTTCTAAAAGATGTCACGCTAGCTATATAAATATATATTGCCTGGTCACAGAATGTATGTTTAGAATAAATTTGATGATTCATTGTGTCAGTAATACAATGAACAAAACTGATATTGTGAGAAATTGGAAAGATTGAGCTATCAGCTTCAAAATAAGGCAATATATTTTGGCTTGAAATTAACTGTGTGATGTAATTCTAGACAACGATAATAGTATTATGAATCCATCTCTTTTTTGTAAGTTGACACATTAATGTTGTTGCTTAGTAACGAATATATATTTCGTTAAATCTCATGGTCTTTGTTGCTTGATATCATTCATGTATCTTAAAGCAGTTCTGGTCTAAATTGATTACAGTGAACGGTGACGTCAGCAGTCAACATCTCATCGATGCATTTCCACAACCAGTGATTGATCCGAATTGGAAGAGAGAATCGTCTCCATCTTTCCCATCTGCTCCTTCAACGCCGGATAATACCCCCCCTTCATCTTCTTTGCATTCTGATAGCTCTGCTAATGTAGTTCCTGAATCTAGTATTGGAGCAGGAGTTGGAACACATACCTCTACCGATACCTCTACCGGCACAAGAATTAGAGTTTGCCCAAGCACGCCTAACATGATATTTCCCAGAGGCAGCACGTTGTTGCGAAGTGACGATAAGTGGGTTGCCTTAAAGTTTGGATGTCAATCAAATCAATGAAGTAAATATCTTAGCTTACATACTTCATTGCTAACTGTGAGGCTTCGGAGCTCACATTATGGGTGGAAACCAAGTACTGCATATGTGACTAATTATTTCAACGTAGGAATGGCTAATACTGGTGGATTATGCTTTTCTTGAACATTGAATTAGATACCCACCAGAGCATAATGAAGTCTGCCTATACTAATGTTATTTATTTGTATTCTCATAATGAAGTATGACATTGGATCAGATTGATCCGGGGTTGAACTGGTGGGAACAATGTTGAATTGCGATTCCACCATTGGGTCAGAGAACTGGTGGCTAAATCGGATTACTAAAATGTAGTTTCAAATTTTCAATTTCAAATGATATCATGTTAATGTCAACAGTTTATTAATTATTATAGTTTTAAAATTTTATTATGTCATATTGATATCATCATAGCGTCCTCAGTTTGACACCGCCCGAACTCGGGGACCAGCCCGTTTAAGGTAATAGACATGTTCTTCAAACCTTAACTAAATTCAAAGCTTTTGACAATTGGTTCTGAACCAACCAAACAATCTCGAAATCCAACTTAACTTTTTTTTTTCAACTCATCCTCAAGTGATTGCTTGTTATCACTTATTAAGGCACATTGCTGTCATGCTGTGTGAGAAAATAAATTGAACTCCAAACCTTGGGCTTGGCACAAGCAACCACTAGAATGCAATAATCAAATTTAAATATAAGCCTTATATCAACCATTGGAATCACTCACAATCTTTATGAAAAACCTTGTTGGTGGGTTGATTTGGAGCTCAGTGATTTTCACCAACAGGATTTATCACCTTGGAGAAAACTTACGTAAGATTTTCTCTTCTTACATGATAAAAGAAATTGGAATAATAATATTGAAGATGAAGATGAACCTGTTTACCAGAAATATGAAATGAGAAGAAAAGAGAGAATCAATTAATTAAATCAAATATATTTTTCTATATCAAATCAACAAGTAATCCATTGGTGATTACTGGTAATTCTGCGAAAAGTACAACTTCCTGGAAGAAATTGGCAACTAAATGGGCAAAATTTGAACTACAAAATTTAGGCTTGGCATAAATGATTATAATACTGTAATCAAACTTACATGAGGACAGGTTGTACATACTTAAGAGCTTTCTTTGCGATCTTGAATTTACTAGCCAGTTCTTTGTTAGTTCTCACAACATGCTCTTTAATGAAAAGCATGATGCCATCTCGAAGAATTTCAAGATCTGGGCTGACAGCTATACGATCGAAAATTTTCGATAAGAGATTATCAGGACACTCAAATATGTACTCAAATAGCATCCTAAAATGCACAATTCTTTTGTTGGTTAGCACGATGGGGTTGCTGAAGTCGATGGGTTTCAAAACTCCAAGGGAGAGATTAAAACATGCGATCATCTCCGCCACAAATTTGGCTAGGTGCATTGATTTTATAAGCGGTATTGACTCCAGCTCATTGAAGTAGTCCCAAATGCAATACTGTAATCATAGCAGAAAAGGAAGATTGAAAAAGAGTAAAATAAAAATTAACATGGAAGCGGAACAATAGATTCTCAACAATCTCAAAAGCTGTAATTAACAATGACTTTCTTAAAACATGAATTTTTTCTAACCAAAATTCACAACTTCACACCATGTAAAGTTAATAAAAAAAAGGATTTCTGATCTCTTAAAAAATGAAAAGTCTAATGGTGATGGTCTCTCTATTGAAGGCAGTCCTTCCCCTCCCAATAACAACCCTTCCAACAGGTAGAACCCTATAAAACATTTTGTATCACCCACCAACGTAAAGAAGATTTAGCATTCACTAAAGGAGAGAAACCAACCTCATATCTGCTTCCACAACAAAACTAAAATGATGTCTTATGAATTAATAAATATACCTCATTATGCTCTAGTGTCCATGAGTTAAGATATGAACCAACAGGTAAGTCTAACTTCGTAGGTATAAAACTTGGGTGTAGAAGCAATAGAGAGGTGAACTTGAGCTAGGCCAAGATCCTCAAATTTGCACTACTATGAGTTTTCTCCATAGTAAATGGAAATTAAATTAAATTATGACTTTTACTATTAATCATTATAGATTGACCTTCTGTAACATTACCTCAGTATTAGGGGTATATCAATGGACCCAGGCCCCATAAAGAGTTCTTAATATCTTGGTCTGCTTCATTTTAGATAAAATATGTTGACAAAATTATAGCGTATTGTTTGTATATTTAAAGACAAGACCTCAGTAATATTTAATGACACAGTACTAAGAATACTTCACAAATTTATAAAAGTTGGGCGTATCCTACATTCTATTACCTCTTATTCTCTTCCTTTATTTCTTTTGTGATCAACTGATGTAACAAGCAGATTCAAAAACTACTCACTCAGATATATATTTATTTATTTTTTCCATACAAGTAAAAGTATTTGTGCATGTTTCGACATAGGCTTGTTACCCCGTATAATGTTACCTAACCCAACTCAAGAATGTAGAGAGTTATACCTGCAAAGTAAACTTGTGGTTTTTGTCATGCTCACACAACTTGGATGCCAGTACCGTGTAATATTTATTGAAATGTTTCTCATGCAAACAACATACCATAAGAACCCGTATAATCTCTCGGTCCTGTAGGCACAGAAAAGCAAAATTAAGGAAAAACTTAAATGGAGTTGAAAAATAATGAAGAAACAAAACGCAAGATACCCACCTGCTTTGCAGGCAAATCCAGCCTTAAAAGCTTTTCAATTGTATCAATGTAATCCTCTGCAGTCATTATAATACAAAAGATTGCCTTTCTATTTTCAGTATTCATTCCCATAGCAGAAGCAAGCTGTAGCATATTCTGGGCTTCAAGAACCTCTTTATCAATATTTCTAGCAACCTCTACCACATTTTCTGTTTGGGCTGCCATATCCCTGGACAACCACCACTGACCCTTTTTGTCAGGATCAAGAAGCTTGCTCCACGTTAGTCCCCTTATTAGAATGCCCTCAACTCTTAACTGCAAATATCCAGGCATATTTCAATATAGAACTACAAAAGCAAGACAAAACCTAAAGCAAATAAACTAAATGAGAAATATTATTTAAGAACTTTAAATAGCAGCTAGTTAAAACTTCAGTTTCTCAATATTTTGTCAAACAATGACAAGCATCACCTTCCTACCCCAAAGATTAGACTATAATAACTTGAAACTACCGGTAGATCTAGGAATTTTTGTGGGAAACCGAAAGGAGCACCTTCAAAATGTTAATATTTCAAAAACATCCTGACGCTATCAAAATCATACTCTATATATTAGACCCAAAGACATTAGTAGTCGTATAAACAGATAATAGTTATTCACCACAAGACTTCAAATTTGTTTTCTCTAGTAAATATTGAGATATCAATCATATAATTATAAAGAGAATAAAGCTAAAAAAGAAAGAAGAAAAAGAAAACTGAATCATAAATACGAACGGTTAATTATAGTTAATTAATTAGAATTTGTGTCATATTGAAAGTAGGAATGATAGAGGAATTTAGGAAAATAGATAGAAATTAGATAGGTTAAGAGGAGGGATTAAAAAGATAGCAAGAAACGATTCTCAATTATCAACTCTTTATAATAAACTACAGTAAGGTTTCCCACAAATACAAGACAGTATTTACAAGCTTCACAAACCAAATCCTAATAAAATAAGAATTCTAATCTAATCCTAATGAAAGGCTAAATTAGTTAAAACACTCAATCCTAAAATATAGAAAGATAAAGGACTAAAATAACCCTTTGCATCCTTCCCATATGTCCTACACCAAAGAATTTAAAATTCTGAGACTGATAGAAGCTTAATGAAACAAAAAAAAAAAAAAAAAATTAAAAAAAAAGCTAAACTCACATAATATCTAAATACATATAGAGACGATAGATCATTGAGATAATTGATGCTTGAAATGATAAAAAATAATAATACTAAGTGAATTAAGTTTCGTGAGGAGGGGCACAGCTGTGAAGAGGTTTAAATATTAAGGATGAAAATTTGAATTTAAGAGGGAGCTTGTGCCCTCCTTGTGCATAATGTAAGTAGCCAGTGCTGAAAACATATTTATGTTCTATTGTTTCACTCAACTGTAGCTGACAGTAAGCACTACGTAATTTCATTGACCTTATAGTTTGTTTCTTCCATTGCTGTCATCAACTATATCTATACAAAATTATCAAGTACATAAGAGCAATAATTAGCATCAAGCTCAGCTTGACTGAAGTTTTCAGATTCGACACAAAGACATGTATGATGTAAGTAATAATACTAACAAGAAGCTCTGGCATAATTTTTAGGAATGATTGTCTGCAAGGAGTTTGACTTCCCTTAACGACACTTAAGTACAGCTAATTCTTCCCAATCAATGTTAGATAGGTAAAGGGGTCAATGCAAAGTATCCTCTCACTCCTGAAGCCATTTGAAATGGGGTAAGAAGAGGAAGTTTAAAGCAAGTAAAGGAGATTTAAAAAAAAAAAAAAAAAAAAAAAAAAAAAGAACCACTCCAAACTAGCAAGACCTTTTGTAGATCCAGCAAACCTTAACTAAATTCAAAGCTTTTGACAATTGGTTCTGAACCACCCAATCTCCAAAGCCAACAATCTTTTTTTTTTCTACTCATCCTCAAGTGATTGTTTGTAATCACTTATTAAGGCACATTGCTGTCATGCTGTGTGAGAAAATAGCAAAAAACTGGACAAATTGAACTCCAAACCTTGGGCTTGACACAAGCAACCACTAGAATGCAATAATCAAATTTAAATATAAGCCTCATATCAACCATTGGAATCGCTCACAATCTTTATGAAAAACCTTGTTGATGGGTTGATTTGGAGCTCAGTGATTTTCACCAACAGGATTTATCACCTTGGAGAAAACTTACGTAAGATTTTCTCATCTTACATGATAAAGGAAAATGGTATAATAATATTGAAGATGAAAATGAACTTGTTTACCAGAAATATGAAATGAGAAGAAAAGAGAGAATCAATTAATTATATCAAATATATTTTTCTATATCAAAATCAACAACTAATCCATTGGTGATTGCTGGTAATTCTGTGGAAAGTACGACTTCCTGGAAGAAATTGGCAGCTAAATGGGCAAAATTTGAACTACAAAATTTAGGCTTGGCATAAATGATTATAATACTGTAATCAAACTTACATGAGGACAGGTTGTACATACTTAAGAGCTTTCTTTGCGATCTTGAATTTACTAGCCAGTTCTTTGTTAGTTCTCACAACATGCTCTTTAATGAAAAGCATGATGCCATCTCGAAGAATTTCAAGATCTGGGTTGACAGCTATACGATCGAAAATTTTCAATACGAGATTATCAGGACACTCAAATATGTACTCAAATAGCATCCTAAAATGCACAATTCTTTTGTTGGTTAGCACAATGGGGTTGCTGAAGTCGATTGGTTTCAAAACTCCAAGGGAGAGATTAAAACATGCGATCATCTCCGCCACAAATTTGGCTAGGTGCATTGATTTTATAAGCGGCATTGACTCCAGCTCATTGAAGTAGTCCCAAATGCAATACTGTAATCATAGCAGAAAAGGAAGATTGAAAAAGAGAAAAATAAAAATTAACATGGGAGCGCAACAATAGATTCTCAACAATCTCAAAAGCTGTAATTAACAATGACTTTCTTAAAACATGAATTTTTTCTAACCAAAATTCACTACTTCACACCATGTAAAGTTAATAAAAAAAAGGATTTCTGATCTCTTAAAAAATGAAAAGTCTAATGGTGATGGTCTCTCTATTGAAGGCAGTCCTTCCCCTCCCAATAACAACCCTTCCAACAGGTAGAACCCTATAAAACATTTTGTATCACCCACCAACGTAAAGAAGATTTAGCATTCACAAAAGGAGAGAAACCAACCTCATATCTGCTTCCACAACAAAACTAAAATGATGTCTTATGAATTAATAAATATACCTCATTATGCTCTAGTGTCCATGAGTTAAGATATGAACCAACAGGTAAGTCTAACTTCGTAGGTATAAAACTTGGGTGTAGAAGCAATAGAGAGGTGAACTTGAGCTAGGCCAAGATCCTCAAATTTGCACTACTATGAGTTTTCTCCATAGTAAATGGAAATTAAATTAAATTATGACTTTTACTATTAATCATTATAGATTGACCTTCTGTAACATATATCAATGGACCCAGGCCCCATAAAGAGTTCTTAATATCTTGGTCTGCTTCATTTTAGATAAAATATGTTGACAAAATTATAGCGTATTGTTTGTATATTTAAAGACAAGACCTCAGTAATATTTAATGACACAGTACTAAGAATACTTCACAAATTTATAAAAGTTGGGCGTATCCTACATTCTATTACCTCTTATTCTCTTCCTTTATTTCTTTTGTGATCAACTGATGTAACAAGCAGATTCAAAAACTACTCACTCAGATATATATTTATTTATTTTTTCCATACAAGTAAAAGTATTTGTGCATGTTTCGACATAGGCTTGTTACCCCGTATAATGTTACCTAACCCAACTCAAGAATGTAGAGAGTTATACCTGCAAAGTAAACTTGTGGTTTTTGTCATGCTCACACAACTTGGATGCCAGTACCGTGTAATATTTATTGAAATGTTTCTCATGCAAACAACATACCATAAGAACCCGTATAATCTCTCGGTCCTGTAGGCACAGAAAAGCAAAATTAAGGAAAAACTTAAATGGAGTTGAAAAATAATGAAGAAACAAAACGCAAGATACCCACCTGCTTTGCAGGCAAATCCAGCCTTAAAAGCTTTTCAATTGTATCAATGTAATCCTCTGCAGTCATTATAATACAAAAGATTGCCTTTCTATTTTCAGTATTCATTCCCATAGCAGAAGCAAGCTGTAGCATATTCTGGGCTTCAAGAACCTCTTTATCAATATTTCTAGCAACCTCTACCACATTTTCTGTTTGGGCTGCCATATCCCTGGACAACCACCACTGACCCTTTTTGTCAGGATCAAGAAGCTTGCTCCACGTTAGTCCCCTTATTAGAATGCCCTCAACTCTTAACTGCAAATATCCAGGCATATTTCAATATAGAACTACAAAAGCAAGACAAAACCTAAAGCAAATAAACTAAATGAGAAATATTATTTAAGAACTTTAAATAGCAGCTAGTTAAAACTTCAGTTTCTCAATATTTTGTCAAACAATGACAAGCATCACCTTCCTACCCCAAAGATTAGACTATAATAACTTGAAACTACCGGTAGATCTAGGAATTTTTGTGGGAAACCGAAAGGAGCACCTTCAAAATGTTAATATTTCAAAAACATCCTGACGCTATCAAAATCATACTCTATATATTAGACCCAAAGACATTAGTAGTCGTATAAACAGATAATAGTTATTCACCACAAGACTTCAAATTTGTTTTCTCTAGTAAATATTGAGATATCAATCATATAATTATAAAGAGAATAAAGCTAAAAAAGAAAGAAGAAAAAGAAAACTGAATCATAAATACGAACGGTTAATTATAGTTAATTAATTAGAATTTGTGTCATATTGAAAGTAGGAATGATAGAGGAATTTAGGAAAATAGATAGAAATTAGATAGGTTAAGAGGAGGGATTAAAAAGATAGCAAGAAACGATTCTCAATTATCAACTCTTTATAATAAACTACAGTAAGGTTTCCCACAAATACAAGACAGTATTTACAAGCTTCACAAACCAAATCCTAATAAAATAAGAATTCTAATCTAATCCTAATGAAAGGCTAAATTAGTTAAAACACTCAATCCTAAAATATAGAAAGATAAAGGACTAAAATAACCCTTTGCATCCTTCCCATATGTCCTACACCAAAGAATTTAAAATTCTGAGACTGATAGAAGCTTAATGAAACAAAAAAAAAAAAAATAAAAAAAAAAGCTAAACTCACATAATATCTAAATACATATAGAGACGATAGATCATTGAGATAATTGATGCTTGAAATGATAAAAAATAATAATACTAAGTGAATTAAGTTTCGTGAGGAGGGGCACAGCTGTGAAGAGGTTTAAATATTAAGGATGAAAATTTGAATTTAAGAGGGAGCTTGTGCCCTCCTTGTGCATAATGTAAGTAGCCAGTGCTGAAAACATATTTATGTTCTATTGTTTCACTCAAACTGTAGCTGACAGTAAGCACTACGTAATTTCATTGACCTTATAGTTTGTTTCTTCCATTGCTGTCATCAACTATATCTATAAAAAATTATCAAGTACATAAGAGCAATAATTAGCATCAAGCTCAGCTTGACTGAAGTTTTCAGATTCGACACAAAGACATGTATGATGTAAGTAATAATACTAACAAGAAGCTCTGGCATAATTTTTAGGAATGATTGTCTGCAAGGAGTTTGACTTCCCTTAACGACACTTAAGTACAGCTAATTCTTCCCAATCAATGTTAGATAGGTAAAGGGGTCAATGCAAAGTATCCTCTCACTCCTGAAGCCATTTGAAATGGGGTAAGAAGAGGAAGTTTAAAGCAAGTAAAGGAGATTTAAAAAAAAAAAAAAAAAAAAAAAAAAAAAGAACCACTCCAAACTAGCAAGACCTTTTGTAGCCATTTCTTTATCCGTGTGTGCTGCACAGTATCCTCCTTAGGCCTTTTTTTGTTGTTTTTGATGTCACATATGGTTTCAAGCATGAACTCCATCTGCACAAATTACAAAGCAGGATTTCTACAAATTAGCAACAAAAATAATAACAAAAACTTTGAAAAATAGATATTTTCCAAATCAGCTTACTCTTTTGCCATTTATATTTTTCGGGCCATCTCCACAGGAAGCCTTCAACTCGTTCACCCTATTTTGAACACTAAGAATAAAATCTTTCATAGCAGTAGGATCATCACCCCTTATTTTTATCCCACAGCCTGTTCAAACAATACCACTTCCAATTAAAAAAAAAAGCAGATATTTTGGCTCACCAGTTATGATAATCTTGTAAGCTGCCATTCCAGTAGAGGAACATAATACTAGTATAAATAACGATATGCAAATACTAGCTCATGCACAAAAAAAGAATAATAATACTAACAAAGAAAGAATGAGAAGCAGTAACCACTTGTAGAAAGGATAAATAATGGTAAAAATAATAGTTTGGGGAAGGTCTACAGCTTAAAATGCAAATCCTCTACCAATAGGGGATCTCCATGGATCAGAAAAAACTTAAACATAAGCTGAGTAGAATTAACAGAAGCCAAATCCACATACATAAAGACTAATCAAAACAGGTCTTAAACTGATAAATGATATTCTGCTTGTTACTTCTATTAAAAAATAGAAAAGAGAGAGAGAGAGAGACAGAGAGAGAGAGAGAGAGAGAGAGAGAACAGGGCTTACATTGCAAAATTGTCAAGATAGTAGAGACATCGATCTCTGCCAATCGCTTGCTCAACATGATGAGAAAGTCATATATCAACTCACTGAAAAATAAGATTACAAGCTCAGCTATTAATCTAGGGTTGTCCAACACTTTAAAGCCGTATTTAGGGACATGCTAGGTGAAACAGATTGAAATCAACATTCTGGGGCAAAGCTCATAATATATACTGTACAACATTAATGCCCAAAGGAAGCTTAATTCTGGCACTTAACTACTAATGTTGTGGCAGACACCAAGCAGTTGGCACTTAACTAAGGGGGTTATTTGAAGCAAAGGGGACATTCTAGGTTCTAAACCAGTTCTGGGGTATGCTCCTCCAGTTAGATCTTCACTGTCTAAAACTGTTGGAGTTGGAGACTCCAAGCAGTTGCCAGAAACATGATCATGGTGCCACATCCTAAAGATCTATTTTCAAAGGTGAGCCACTTTATGAAGAAGAGATGTTGTCCAAGAAAAGTTGGGCAACCCTATTAAAGCAGATTACTCACCTTGAGAAAACTCCAAATATGCATAAATAGGAGAGCAGAAGAGTAAGATTTCGCAAGGAAAGATTGTCTTTTTTGAGGTACTCATTCTGTGGAAAAAAAAAGAAAAAAAGAAAAGGCTGCTTTCAGTTAATTTGTAGAATTCAGTTAACAAGCTAACAAAAACTTTGAGATTCTTGACAAGCAAACAGCTGAATTGATAATAAACTTGTAAGGTTTCCCCTTTGAAACACAAAATAGTTAATATATCTTCAGAATCATTACAAATCAAAAGAAACCACTTTGAATAGTGACATGTAATTGTTTAAAATTTGTAAGACAAACCTCAAAAGACTGAGCAAGTGAAGCCATAAGCTTTGCACTGAAGTCAATTCCCACCAAACATGCCATGCCTGCAACAAAAGCTGCAAAAACAGCAGCATACCTAAACAGAGAACACGCAAAAGGTCAATTGCATGTACAACTGTAATAACAAGTGCAAACAGTAAAATAGATTAGCAGTCCAGCTTTACATCAAAAAATGCACCAAAATAACCTGACGTTACAATCATAGTGAAATTATAAGCCTAACTAAGTGTTGTCAAACAGTTGCCGAGAATAAAATATCTTTTCACCAATAAAAATAAGTTGAAATAACATTCACATATAACATTTGGAAAATAGAAGTTCACAAAAATAGGCTGATTCTCTACATCACTATCCCATAGTGCATGGTGTAGAACAGAACTGATAATTCTTCTTTATCTGACATGTCATACATCTACATACATTAGATTTTCTTACTGATACTTCAGATACTAACAGATGGTCCTGCAAATTACTCTCCACATATAAACTATCTATCTTTTCACCCATATACAAGGGAAATGAAGAACAGTGGTCACTGATGATCTTGAAATAAAAGAAAGTGTTTTTACGGTACAACTTATCTACAGGCCAAAAGAACCACAAGATGTCAACTAAATTATGTCATCAAAACCAACCACAGTAATTTAAAGGTTTTCAACTGAATCATGATATAGCCAAAATCTATCCGCAGGAATATCAGAACATGGTGTCATTATAAAACAGTTCAACAGATCTGTTACCAGCAGAAATAACAAATTAGTGCGTCATTAATCCAACAATATGTCTTCAGTTTAAGAAAACAGGAGATATGAGAAAATCAATAGCTAGAGAAGAAATAAATAATATATGACAATAATTTATATTCAGATCTACTTCATGGCTCCTAAAGGTGAGATTGATAAAGAGACGGGATAAGGAGACATTAAATTAGAATATAAAGTAATCTCTTAACTGTTCATTGCCACGAGGACCGCTAGAACATGAAGCCAACACCTCCTCACTGATAATCTTAGAACCAACACTGCGGCCAACCGACTGCAAACAGGTAAGATGAAAGAGTTAAGTTATAATTCTTGATCAGCAAATTCATTCAATGTATTTGAATAATATAGAAATGCATATTTGATCTAGAAGTTTCAATGCACCCACAAACAAACACATCAGTTATTTGGCTTCAGCACAGCTACAAACTAGCCACCCAAAGAACAGTATTCTACCTATGCTGGTCTCATGGATAAAAAAAGCTGGATCACATGATTATAATAATTTCAAAAATTAAGTTCCTTTAAGCGGTGATAGCATTTCCAGAGTAAGTCGACTACAACAATTCCATAATCCTCCCAATTGGATTACTAGATGAAATTATATAGAAAAGTAAGAGAAACAAAAAAAGATAAAATTAAAATTACAACTTACAAGAAAGATTGTTGACATTTCTCCAGTAATTGATTCCACATTAGATTCAGAGAGTCTATTCAAAAGACCTGAAATATTTTGAAAAATATAAAGTATGTCAGGTTTCAATTTCAAGATAGAAATTTTAAATTCATCCAAAACCTCAATTTTCATACCTCGAACCCTTCTACGGATTTGACTATGCTCTTCTGACTCATTTCCTGCACGTGATCTCAAGTGAGGAGGAACATACTTTACACTGCTTTCCAATGCAGGTGCCCTGGCAGTACTTTCCACCAAAGCCACCTCTGCATCATGGGTTTCCTGAGGATTGGAGACGGTATCAGCAGTATCAGAGACCACATTGTCTTGTGCTTGCTCTGACAACTTTTTCTTCCTCCTCTTTCGTGAAGCTACCGTGGCAGGAACTTCTTCCAAACCCACGTCTGCACCATTGGTTTCTTCTGACTTGGGCATTAAATCACCACCATTCTCACCTTCTAGTCCCTGCTCCAATGATTTTCTCTTCTTAGGTTTCTTCTTGGCAGGTTGTTCTTCAGCATTGGGGATTTCTTCCTCTTCCCCTGATGAATCAAAAACAGATGGAACTCCTTCGAATAACACATTTAAACCATCATCTTCTCCCCGCATTTTCCCATTTTTCACCTTGAGTCTCTTTGCAAGTTTCCTCTCCAATTCCAAATCTTCCTCTGCACTTATGCTAGCTTTTGGCACATCCAATTGAAGAAATTCTTCAAACTTTGTTTTCCGAGCTCTCTTACTGATATCCTTCTTTCGTTTCTCTGTTTTAGATGAAGTAGACTCATTTTGTCCCACAGAATTCAACTTCACTTCATCTTCTTCTGACAAAATCAATTCCGTCAAGCTCTGATTTTCCTCAGACTTAATCTGCGTGTATGAACCTTTCGATTTCTTCCCATGTTTCAACTTAACATCCTCATTTGTTCTCTTTAATTTCTGGGATTTCTGTAATAAGCATTAAAATCATATAATACAATTCCACATACATTTTGTAAATACAAATTTCAAAAAATATATACAACAGATGAACAATATAATTTCTTTAACCTGATGCTCCATCCAAGCTTGATGTTTCCTTTGATTCTTAGCTAATCGAGCTTCTTTCCTTATGTCACGACGACCCATATTTTTCTCTCTCACGCAATTAACGATTATGTTTTCACTTCTCAGAAACAAAAAACACAATAAGGATAATTAGAATCAGTAAATATATACTTACCCTTTTTTCCTATTTAACAATAAAGCTTCTTCAATTGATAAATTGTCAAACAGAAAGAAAAAGAAATCATAAAATTCCTAATGCGAGTAACTGCCGTCGCGTGGGGGCCGTCGGTGATGATCTTATGTAGAGTGATAGTACAATTATGATGAGACCTGAATTAGGGGTTTAGCAAATTTTGGGAATATAATTTTTGCCTTTAAATCTGATAAAATACCCAAAAAACCCCTGAGAGCAGGGAGGTAACTGAGTAACTTTTATATGGCACCCCTCGGTTGTATCAGTAGTTCAGTACTAGTCACGAAGCCCTGCCGTTAGTAAACCGTTAAGATTTTTTCAGTTAAGTTTATAAAATCAGGGTTAAAGGGTAATTTAAGTTGATAGCAAATTCAAAACTGAAGAAAGCGTAATACCCCGACCTTTTCCAACAGAGCACAGCCTCCGCTTGAAAAGCCACCGCCACTAGAGCCCATTTAGGCCGCAAGCTGTGGCCTTATGCGTTTCGCTTCTGCTGCCGTAAAGCGGTAGCCTTGCTCGACGAAGCTAAGCCACGGTTTCCGGCCTCGAGAGTGGCGGCGCGTTGGTCTCGCGTTAGGTTCACTTAGATTGATCTTTATTGGTTTTATTGTTGAATTCGGTTGTTGATTTGCTTTGAATAAAGGCTTGGGTCTGAATTGGGGATTATGTTTTGTTTGGGATTAGGGTTTGTTTAAGTTTTGGGGATTAGGATTTGAGTTTTCTATTTAGTAAAACGGGCCCCGCCGTCCTGAACGGTATAAAATCTGTTATAATCGGCAGCAGCCCCCCACCTCTACCTTCCCCGACGCCCCACTATTCCAACCTCAAAACAGCCGCCCACGGCCCACCCCACACTCACCTCAACGCTTAATCAACACCAACAAACAACAATAGTTAGCGGGCTTGGAGAATTTTTTCATGTAACTGTGACAAACAATAGGGGTCGTGATAATTACTGATATCATAAGGGTTCTTGTGGTAGGATCACTATAGTTAGCGGGTTCAGAGAATCTTTTCATATAAAAATTTATGCTTTTAAAATCTAAAGTACTTAATATTACTTCTTGAAGCCTTATTCTAAAGCTTAGATTTAGGCCATTTACCTTAACTATATCTTACAACAAAGTATATATAGGCTTAGATGAAAGTCATGTTTTTGTGGAGCCCAATCACCCAATAGCATTAAGCACGACATATTGACTTCCATAGCTGCAAATCCAGCTCCTGTTGTCAATGCCTGGAACTCCTCCTTTGTCCTCTCCTTTGCTCCAGGAATTGTATTAAACACACTCAAGTCAATTCCAGAAATATTTTGAGTTACAGCATCAGTCTTAGGAAATTCTGGCATTATAGATTCAACTACTATTACCTTCCTCGCATCCGACAGCGCATTGTAACAGTTCTTTAATAACTTCAAGCATGATTGTCACCCCAATCATGAAGTATCCACTGAAAAGTTATATCAACATTTGATTTTAAGCTACCAGATGATGGTGCATCTTTTAAAACATAAGGCGAGTCAAAATTAATGGCCTTAATTTGTGCGTACTTAGAACATTAAGCAAAGGTTTGCCCCTAAGCCTCCACCAATTGGCTCAGCCCTTCAATGGCTTCAAATCCCTTGTAGATTTCAAGAACTCTTTTTATCACTAAAGCAGTAATATTGTACATGGATTGATTGAAAATATTCTCTCTTTTATTAAGGCAATCCTCCCTCCAATACACTATCTTTTAAGTAATAACTGTAGAGAGATTTTGTCACTATAATTACATTACAAGCTATTAAGCAAGTAATATAATTCATGGATATTGATGATCAATAGGAAACAAACCAGCACTGCATGAGGACTTTCTCAGAGGAGCGCGGGAGCAAGAGAAACTCCATCTTCATTTTGTACAAAGTATCTGCAAATTGGTGCTAAACTATAATCTTTTGGGGTGTCCAACTTTGTTGATGATAAGTTTAGATGTGAGGATAGAGTGAGAAGCAAGAAGGCGAAGGATCCTTTCAACTATTAGAGGGGCATCGTGGTTCTTCGCCGGCAAGTAAGAAGCAATCTCAGAAGAAGAGAGGCAATGAGATGGGCTAGTTTTTGCCATAATCTCAAACAAACCAAGCTCGATGGCGGCTTTTCATGGCCATTGGCAGCACTGTGCCAGTAACCAGTTACATGGCCACCAAGAAATCTTGTTCATAATGTTTTGGAAATTTAATGGTTTTAATTACTAATAAATGATTAATATTACAAGTTTTGTTTCACTTAATAAACAGAAATGAGGGTGATTAAACATAACAAACTAACAGCAAGCAACCTAGTGCAAAGTATGATTGTAAATATTGAAGCATCAACTTCTACTACGCAAGGTGGTAAATCTAATTGTTCAAAATGCCTTGTGATGACTGATATGTTATAAGTGTAATTTAAAGCATTGTGTTATTATTATTATTGTTATTTATTTTAAATTTTGAAGAGGGATTCAATAGAAATCCTACAAAACAACTTTCTGGCTCAAGAAATTTCTCTGGATCATGTTGGTGTTTTTGTAAATCGATCCAAGAATCTTTAGATCATCTTTTCTTCACTTGTGCTGTCACAAAGTCCAATTGGTGTTGTGTTCTTGTGGTCTCTTCGATCTCTTGGTTATAGGGAGGTGCCTTGGCATGACTATGTTAATTCCTTGTCTATGAATTGGAAGTGAAACAAACTCAAGTATCCCATAGGTAAATTATGCTTGGGTGCTACGGTCTATTTCATTTGGAGGGAGAGGAATAATAGATTTTTTTAAGGGATTTTATGGATGCTTGGACAATTCACAACCACATTCGGAACATGGTGAGAGATAGGGCTATGGACCTCAACAAAATGAAATCTTCCATGGCTAATAGAAGACTTGCAAAGATTTTGGGATTACCTATGACTATCTTCAAAACCAACATGTGACGAACATGGATTTCCCTAACCTAAGGCTTGTCCTGAGGTAAGAATGATGCTGTGTATTGTTGGGCTTAGTCTTGTTTAGGTTTTTTTGAATCCTATCCTAGGGCATATCCTGTGGTAGAATGTCTTTATCTTTGTGTTCTTTCACTTGCTCCTCTCCTCTTGTCTCTTATCTTTCACGTGCTTAAGATAGACAAATAAGGTGATATTAGGTTCTTAGTCTATTAGGTTTGTATATTTGTTCCTCTCCTAGGGCCTATCCTAAGGTAGGATGGTCAGTTTTTTATGACATTTCTGTATATTCTCTCTCTTTTCATGATACTACTTACTAAAAAAAAAAAAAAATTCTCTAGGATATGATTACATTACAGTACGTATAAAAGAAGAATAGACATTACTCTTCTTTCCATTTCTTAATGTGAATAATGGCTTTTAATTGTAACAAGTCGATTTTTTTTCCTATTTATTTAAAAATAATAATTAAGATTATAGTATAATGAGAAAGCATTTGTTTTACTTAGTTTAATATTTAAGAAATCTAATGTTTATTCTGGACGAAAGCACAGACGTTTCAAATTTTAAAAGTTCCTTCGAAAAAAGAATATAAGATAAAGACGATCAAACCGATGTTATCTGTGCAACGGTACTGGCCATTTTGCCAAAAATTGTCGCAACAAGCTAAAACAATTAGCTAAGATGCTTCAACACCTTTCTCAAATCACCCGATTAAATTTTACTGATGATGATGTTGAAAGCTTGTTCTCTGGTAATAATGAACCCCACTAAGACAATGTTCTTCAACTTACACGTTATTAATATTCAATAAAACTATACTTACAACTTTTTCATACAACTTTTTTATACAACCTTGAGGTGGCAACTTGTGATTGGTCAGTTTACACTTGGGCAGATGAGATCCACTATGAGCTAACCAATCTCGAGCTGCCACATGAGGATTGTATGAAAAAGTTGTAAATGTAATGCTGCTCATTGATATTTCATAATATAATATCAATAATGTTTTGCTTACAACTAAATCATACATACAAACAAACAAAAAATATACAAAAATTATGTAAAATTATTCAGTAATACTGTAGTTACAAAAAAATCTTACAAAGATTTTCATATAAAGTGAGGTAGCAAAAAATGAATGAAAGAGTGAAACAAAAAGTCAAACTCATTAAATTTACTATTTCATTCATTTTTTATCACGTCACTTTATATGAAGATCTTTGTAAATTTTTTTTGTAAGTGTAGTATTACTTAAAATTATTACCTTATTTTTTATTTTTTGTTTATTTGTATGACATAATGGTAACTATAACATTACTGATACAATATTGTAAAATTTGATGTACTTCTATATTAACTCTTAATTGATTCATAATTATGGGAGTTGACTACGGAAAATTAATTAAGTTGTGAATATTAATTGGCATCCCTTAGGACCCTTACTGTCTCTTGGAGGTGTTTACATATAGTTGATCATATTAATAATTAATTCGTTCAATTGACAGATTTCACGACCATTTATTTGCACCAAATCAGTGATTCGGTTTGACAAAATGTCACCGTACCATTTATTTCCACAAAATCAGTTTGGCAAATTAGCAAGATAATTAATAACCTCATTAATTTCTTGTATCTAATTTAATTTATTTTGAATTTTAAATTTATAACAACAAAATTGCAAATTGTTTAATTTTTTACTAAATTTAATGAAAATGATTATAAATTCTAAACCCTAAAAGAGCTTAACACAATCTTGTCCTTTAACAACTCCTTATACATAAAACTTTTCTATACATATTAATTTTATGTGTTTAAGGGAGAGAGAGATTTTATATTCTAACTCTTGGAGGGGTTTAAATATAGACATTATATTTGGATATATAGTTGATCATACCAATAATTAATTTGCACGGCATCCAATGATCACGAACCAATTATAGAACTCTACTCAATAATACCCTACTCAATAAGTGGATTGCATTAGTTATCCACTCTCAAGTTGGGCAATGAAAGGTTTGAGCAAAATCAATTCGACAGATTTTCGGACTAATGATTTTCGTTAAATCTATGATTCGGTTTGACAAATGTTGCCATAGCATTTATTTCCTTTGACAAATTAGCAAGATAACTAATAACCTTGTTAATTTCTTGTATTTAATTTAATTTCTTTGTTAATGTAACATTTTTTACATTCAGAAGCTTGAATATTTCGCCACCTCTTATGGCTAAAATTAGCGTCGAAATCTAGTGAAAGCACCAGATTTTAGTAAGAGTAATACTACAGTAATCGAAGGTTGTACATCGAATTTGTGCATCGAATGACGTGACAAAATCTTGATCGTTGATTAATATTAACTAATAATTAATCAACAGTCAGGATTTTATCACGTCATTCGATACACGGATTCGATACACAACCTTCGGTGATTCTATCATTTTCGTTTTAGTAAATGGGGACTTTTCGATTCTGATGGGACCGGTTGTGGCTTCTACTGTTCTACAAGCCATCCTCTTGACTTGACTAGTGTTAACAACCAGTCAACGGCAGTTGACCACTGACAGTCTACTTTATATATATATATATATTATGAAATTATTTATTTAATAAATTAAATGATTTAAGTTTATTTTATAATTTAAATAATTATGTATGGGTATACTTGACCTTTTTCAATGTAAAATCAGCTTTACAAAGAATCTGCTGTTTTTCAAAAGCGTAGTTAGCTTTTAGAGTCCTTTTATAAAATTAATTATTTTATAATCAGTTTCAAACCATTCAATTTTAAAAATCATTCCGGGAGAATAATGCAGATGCATAACATATTTAAGATGATGATTTTGGGTACATAACAATTTCCCTATAAAGTAATGTGAATATAATAAAAACTAAAAACAGAATAAATTAATCAACGCAAATGAAGTGGCGAAAACATTCAACAGTATTTTATCGACAATTTGACAAAGCTCTATAAAATATGTGAAGTTACACACAATGAAAGAGAAGCATATCTAACTCCACCACCAAACACAATACTTTAAAGAATATTATCAATTTAGGTATCTCCGTCACCAAAATTTAAAGAATATTATCAAGTTAGGTATAATTTGTTCATCAACTGCTAAAAAATGGACACAAGTTTCAATTTATTTAATTTAAAGATACTAAAATAGTAACTTTGTTCAATTTAGGGGAAAAAAAAAAGAACACAAGTTTTAATTTGTTCAATTTAGGGACACTTAATAGAAAACGAGAGCAAATCAATAATTGTATAAGTTATAAGAAAATTGAAAGCAAAGTAAATCTTTTAAAATAATTTTATCTAATAAAACGTTGACATGTTTAAGAATTTAAAAAATAAAATAAATATTTATAAAAATGAAAAAGGGAAAATTTGTTGCCTTTCCCTCAGGCCAGCAACACAACCAGCTAAAGGTGAGCATGAAATTAGGGTAGAATCAGAACTGTCGGGTACTCGAGGTCCTACTTGGGTACCCGCCAGTTCCTACCCAGAACCTACCTGTATAGCGTCTTACCCAGTTTCAGTTCCTACTCAGAATCAGCCTACACAAGTTTGGTTTCGGTTCCCTAATAGGTGGAATTGGTTGGAACCAGAACCAGAACTAGAATCAGACTTAGAATTGAGATTCGGGTGAGAATCGAGGGTAAAATGATATTTCATAAAATTATGAAGGGTATTATATAATTTTGGTTATTGAATAAGGAATTAGCTTCATTCGTTCTTCCCTTCTTCGAATTAGTTGCCGCCAATCTCTTGTGTTCGACTTTCCATTTGATTTTGCTCTCAAATACTTCTTCCGACCATACTATTGATATTCCGATGGTTTTTTGCTATGGTTTTCTCCGCTTTATACCATTGTGGCGTTGTCCTGAATCTCTTAACAAGGTAAACTAACTTAACTGTGTTACTTTGATTACTTTTGTAAACTTTGATTACTTTTTACTTTAAATTGATTCTGTTATTTTGTTATTCACTTCGGTTTGATTCGTTGTATTGTTATTGTTGTAGAAGTTGATGTGAAACCAAATATGACAAATTATACATTTCCATGTTATAATCAATAAAATAAATGTGGAATAAAAACTTTCACCACCCACACAAGTTATAATCAAGTATCAACAATAAAGATAAGCAATAAATGTGTAGGAAATATAAAATGAGTTGAGAGAGAAAAAATCCTCAGAGATTTATAGTGGTTCAAAGTTATATCTACAAGGCTCTTACATCTACTTCTTCAAGGTAACCTCCTCGAAGTTTTACTAGAATCGAATTGCACCTTTTACACTAGTTTGACAAGATTTCGCCTCTTAGATTCATAGGATTTCACCCACAAGATGTATGAATAAAAGTTGTGACTGATTGCCACTCAAAACTAGACTTATACACACAATAAGAGCAATAATACAAAGTTTTCAATATAAGTACAAGTGAGAGTTAATGATTTGAATTTTTTAGCTCAAGGGATTATGTGAGAAGGCTCTTTATAAACTAGTCTTTCTCTCTGATGTTCTCTCTATTTCTCTTGCACAATATCGCTCTATTTATTGCTTGTCTCCCCCTTTTGAAATTAAGAGTCATTGCTACATTTAATCCACTTCTAGAAAGCTACAGTACCTAGAGGAATAGTCGTTGCACCATCGTGAACGATCACTCCTAACATAACAAATACTTTTGCTCAAATCTAAGGTTTATGGAATGATCATTCAACCATCGTGAACGATCATTCCACTATATGGAATGGTCAGTCCATTGACTTCTCAAAATCTATAAAAATTTCAAAAGCATGAACGAATTTTTGGAATGATGTCATTTTACCAAGTAACGATTTTTGAGTTGGAATGGTTATATGGCATTGCTGTTTTGGTTGAAACACTTGTACTTCAAGTTGGGCTAGATCCTAGCCAACGATGTTGGTCTTTGTTGGTTGTGCTGCTGGCATGAGAAAAAGTCATCGACTTTTCTCTCTTTTTTTTTTTAATAAAATTTTTATGTTTTTAATGTTTTAAATTTGAAAATAGAAATAAATGTTCTTTCTTTTGTGCAAATTTTTTTCTTTAAAAAAAAAAAAAACTGCCTTTTCTCTTTTTTATTTACATTATTTTATTTTATTTTCTTATTATTTATAACATTTAAACTTTGAAATCAGACAAATTTTAATTTTAACTGATTTTTTTGTTTTGTTTTTAAATTTAAAATTGAAAGATTAAAACCAAATAAATAACTAGGGGTATCTAATTGTTTTTGTTGTTTTCTGTTAAAATTAACAAGTGCTCCTAAATTGAACGAAGTTACTGTTTAATCTCCTTAAATTAACAAGTGCTCCTAAATTGAACGAAGTTACTATTTAATTTTTTAAACTTTAAATTAAACAAAATTACTATTTAATATCTCTAAATTGAACAAATTGAAATTTGTCTTTTTCTAAGCATTTCATTAAAAAAGTATACCTCGATTGATGATATCTTATAATTTAACATATACCTGGGCCATTAGCCATTACATTACGACTTGGCCATTCCATGAACTAACAGCACACTTCCTCTCAACCACCTTTCAAATAACTCTCACCTTATCCTGCATCCAAATAGTAATTCAGAATAATATGAGTTCATTCAATCACCAGCTTAAACCCCAGAATGGTAATGATCAAGAAGATTTCTTGTTTGCCATGGAACTCGTCACCGGTACAGTGCTCCCTATGACCATGAAAGCCGCCATCGAGCTTGGCTTGCTAGAGATCATGGCAAAAGCTAGCCCATCTCACCTCTCTTCTTCTGAGATTGCTTCTCATTTGCGGTCGAAGAACCAAGATGCCCCAGTAGTAGTTGACAGGATCTTACGCCTCCTTGCTTCTCACTCTATCCTCACATGTAAACTTGTCACCAACAAAGATGGACAGGCCCAAAGACTCTATGGTTTGGCACCAGTTTGCAGATACTTTGTTCAAAATGAAGATGGAGTTTCTCTTGCTCCTTCCATGCTCATAGTTCAGGACAAAGCCTCTGTCGATTGTTGGTTTGTTTCCTCCAATTCAATTCCTAGTTATACATCTTATGAATATTTTCACTGCTGTCAGGGATGGAGACACAAAAGGCTCAGCGGGGCTTCATGCCCCCTCCGACCCTAATTTTTTGGGTTAATATTCTTAATAATAAAAAACCCTTTATTTTATATCATGAAGTAGTCTCAATGCATAAAACCAGCACTTTTTTTTTTCCCCTCTCTCGAAACTTGTGATTGAATATAGACCATCCAGTACATAAGCAAAATAACCAATATAACTTACAATTCCAAAACAATACTTTTTTTTCTTTTTTTCCTCCTGAGTAAATTATCTTCATCTATTTTAGTAGTAATATTAATCTATGTCTCACGTTTTTATTATATAGATGATCAATTCTTGTATTTTTAATGTTTTAATTTTTTTTCTTGCCCCCACTGACAAAATCTGTCAATAGGTACCATTTAAAAGATGCCGTGTTGGAGGGAAGCTTGCCATTTATGAAGGCACATAATGGAATGCAGGGGTTTGAGTATGCAGCACAAGATAGCAGAATAAACAGTCTCTTCAATCAATCGATGCACAATCACACTGCTTTAGTCATGAAGAGAATTCTTGAAATTTACAGAGGATTTGAAGGCTTAAATGAGCTAATGGATGTTGGTGGTGGCTTCGGTTCAAATCTCAGATTAATAGTTTCTAAGTACCCACAAATTAAGGGTATTAACTTTGACTTGCCTTATGTTATTAAAGATGCAATCTCTTCTTCAGGTATTTAATTAATTATTGTTCTATTATTCTTCTCCTTTCTTCACGTGATCTGAGTTTTGATCAAATTTGAGGAATGATTTGAATTTTTCATTTTTCTTTTACTGTAGGTGTGAATCACGTTGGTGGTGATATGTTCCTTGAAGTTCCAAAAGCAGAATATATTTTCATGAAGGTTGGAATAATTTACTTGAGTAAACACTTAATTGTTCTTGATAAATTTATACATAACCAAATGGTTTTGTATTTTCTAATGTTTCAGTGGATACTTCATGACTGGGGTGATGATAAATGTTTGAAGTTATTAAAGAACTGTTATAATGCTCTACCAGATTCTGGAAAAGTAATTATAGTTGAATCTATACTGCCGGAATTTCCTGAGAATGATGTTGTAACTAAAAATGTTTCAAGACTTGACCTATGTATGTTTAATACAATTCCTGGAGCGAAGGAGAGGACAAAGCAGGAGTTCCAGGATTTGGCAACCAGAGCTGGATTTGCAGTACCGGATGTTATATGTCGTGCTTATTGCTATTGGGTGATTGAGCTCTACAAAAGGAAGTGATCAATCTAATTAGTTAGCTATAATTAATATTTTCTTAACGTTTCTTCAAGAAGTTATATGTTATTTAATGACATCGATCCTGGGATATTTTTATTTTTCTATGTTAATGTCACTTGTCAACCTCACTTTCATATTACTGCTTAAGTTATTATTATTCTTCCTTTTATAATATATGAATATTTGCTGTAGTACAAGTTAGCGATTGCTTGCATTCTTCTCCTTTTAATTTACTAGGAGATATAGTCAACAATTAATGTCCTTTTGTCTATGCTGATAAACAATAACACTAGTATATATATATTTTCTAATGATTGGGGTGTCCGGATTAGCTTACGCATGTCTTAACTAATCCCCCAAGACTCTGAAACTATTAGTCGGATAAAAGCTTTAGTGGCTACCTCTATTAGCAACTGAGAAGGGATTGAGCTTAGGACCTCTTGAGTAATATAACTAAGAGTCTCGATCGAATCACTCGGCTACCCAAGGGTTGGTTAACACTTGTATATTTTGAATATGGAAAAATTTATCATGGATGTTTAAAGTTTATATATCTACTTCAATAAACTCTAAGTCAATGAATTAACTTAAAAATTGATCGATGAATTAGGATAATGATATGATAGAGTAAATAGAAAATAGAAAGCGAAACGTAAATGTGTGCTTGAAGGGTATAGCCGTATAGGGTTCAATAAAATCTTTGAGATTTTAAAAATTAATTCTTGTAATCCCTCTCTTTTATGATTCATTTGATAGGTTTTCCATGTCTTGTTTTTTCTGCGTTGTCCTCCACTTTTACCTTTTATAATGCTTAACTTCTTCTTATTATTTCTTTTAATATATATTTTATATTTTCACAATAGTATTACAACTCCTTTAATTTATTCAGATATACAAGTGAATAATAATGTCGTTTATTCTACGCTGATAAAGAAGCAAACTTGTATATCTTTAACATTAAAAACCTATGATTTATAAGTGTCAGAGTTTGAGTAGACAAGAGCGACAAAGAAAAAAGAGACTATTGAAGTACACTCAGAGAGATATCTTTGAGAAGGTAAGAGAGATAACTAGAAGTGTCGGAGAATGCTTTAGAGATATCTAAGAGAAATTCAATTTAATTATATTGAATTGTTGTAAATTGTATTGAGTATACACAATCTATTTATACAAAAATGTAATAACTATGTAAGGATATATTTCAGTAAATGAAAATCTTAATGTTAGGAAGAAACTTTATTGAAAAAAATGAATACTGAATTAAATGATATAAAATAGTATTTTCAATTAAGAGACATTAAAGGAAATAATATGATTCATTTTGATATTATTAAGTGGGACGTCATTGATGATAATCTGATACAGTAATATTATATCATATATGATAAGTTTTCAAATATGAGTAGTGTCCTTGTTCTTAAGCTAAACAAATTCGTAAATACATTTTCAAAAAAAAAAAAAAAAACCTTTTTTATTTGTTTTCATTTAATTTAACTTCAATTTAATTAAGGTACATCAAGAATTCTTGAGGAGCTTGATTGATGCAGGGGCCCCATGGGACGAATAGCATCGACAGTATCAGAATTTTTAGTGAGGTACTCTGAAACGGCCAAACAAGTTAGGCTTGCTGTAAAACGAGTTTTGTCATTTTTTTTTAGCCTTTGGGAATCTTTTTTGGGACCTTTTTATTAGTTTTAGGGGTGTTTTTGCAAGTTTTTGGCCTTTTGTAATTTTCTTGATAATTGTTTAATTTTTTTTGGTTAAAAGGTCATTGTATAAAAAGAAAGAATGAATACAAACACTATGAATTTTGGAATACGCAACTCTAGTCTCCAGTAATGCACATAAACCAATTCGTTTATTGTTCATAAAAGCCTTAACTTCTTTTTGTTTAGAGGGTCGATTCAAGCCCCTAACATGCCAACATGCAATTTTAGACATGGGAGGTAATTAAAGAAGGGGACTCCCCTCGTCTGTCCCCAAGATTGTGCTCATCTTGGATGTCTCTTCTGTTTTGTTGATCGGACTCACTCAGATTTTGTCTGCAGTTTCCCTCAACTTTATCCTTTTTCAGGAAGCCATACATGGAAGCTGTATCCGAGTCAACATTAGTTTCTACCATGTCTGAATCATTTCCGGAAGTAAACCCATTCTCTTCATTTGCCAGGTTATTGTTGGTTCCTTCATTAATAATAACATGCCCATCTTCGTCCATTTCAAGCCTGTTTAGACATTGAAAAGTGTTACCCATCCTGCTGCTATAATTACGCTGCTGCTGTTGGTTCAGGTTGTTCTTCCCTTTCTTAGAACCCTTTTTTGGTGGCCTCCTAACTTGAGGATTGGCAGTTTGCTTGTTTGTATTCACCGGATTTAAGCCACTCTCGCTTGAATGAGAATCCTAGCCCGAAGGTGGCCGTGACACGTAGCGAGGGAAGTTTTTTTATTATTATATTCAATGAAATATTACCAACCTTGTGTGGTTATTTCTTTATCAAATCTAGTATCCGAATCTTGATATAATTCGATGGTGGTTTTCTCGTATAACTTGTTGTTTTTCAGGTTTCAATCATCTTTCTTGATTGTTTCGACATCATTGATGCCTGATTGATATTGAAATTAATAGTTATCAATCAATTGACAAACAAAGAACAAGCATGAACATGAAAATTATGTAAAGCTTAGTCATGGAATTTTGCTTTAGTAAAACTCATAATTATATATCTTTTTCATTTAATATTTCTTGACTCAATTAATTATCTGAAAATTTAAAAATTCAATATTATTTATAAAACAGATAACATAATAATATAAAGTTGAGTAATTATTTATAGAATTACTCTTTACATTATTATTTAGCAGTTTTTAAAGCAAAGACAAGACTCTGGTCCGCAAAGTGCCTTTGATGCTAAATTACCATACGCTTGTCTACACAGTGAAAAGCATAAATCGGGAGTGCAATTCGCCACCTTGAATGCCCCTGGCAGCAAGCAAACCTTTCCTCCTTGCATTTCTGTGAAAAATAATTCAACGTTAGCAATCTGAGTAGAAGATTATTTCAAATATTTATAATCTTGAAATGACAAATGGAAATCTAATTATTAATTACCGATAGGTATAACAAGAAGAAGCATGACGAAGACGAAGACGAATATGTGAAACTTATTCATGGTTTCTCTTTTACTCTTCAACTAACTAGAAAAGAAATTGTGATATATATTTTGAGCATTCCAATATTTATATTGGGGGGATTAGCAGTAAATTAATTAGAAAATATCTTAATTATTTAGTGTATCTTGAAAGAAAAATATTAATGCCAAATCAGTATCAGAGTAAAAACTATAAAATCTAGGCCAAATCTAAACTATTAAAGAAATATATAAAAATAAAATACCGAGTATCAGTTATAGAAGGATTGAATTTAGGGATTTTTTCCTTTTTTTAATTTTTTAAATCTATATTATACATTTATTAATACATAATTAATATCTCTCTAATGACATTTCAAAATCAATTTTGGTGTCTTCTAGTTTTTTTTTTTTGGGTAACATCCCACCTCATTAAGCTTCTTCTACAACCTACTCACTTAGAATTTGAATTTTTCTCAATCGGAAAGAATTGATCTAGGATAACCTTGAGGGGCAGTTTGGTTCGGGGTTAAGTGGCATTACTGGGGTAATGTCATCTTATATTACTTGATTACCACGTTTGGTTGTCAAGTAATATAAGATACCAGTAATCTTCAAATACCAATAATGGTTACTATTGGTAATATAAGAGGTAATCTGATTATCTCCATTTTCTTAGGTTTTCTGAGATTACCAGGGTTATCTTTTTTTGTTACAATTTTATCCCTTATTAATAAAAATTTTGGACAATAATACCCTTACTTTAAAACAAATTTACATTAATATCCTATTTCAATTTTACCCTTGTTTAATTAAAATTTTGGACAATAATGCCCTTATATTTAAAATAATTTACAGACCACCACTGCCACCAAGCCACCACCACCACAGCCACCCAGTCACCACCGCCGACAGCGGGTCAACCACCACGGACCACCGCCGAAAAATTACCGGAGTCCCTAAAAACACTAGAAATTCTGTGGGAGGCTCCGGGAGGCTTTGATATGGTCGGAAATGGCCAGATCTAGCCAGATCTGGCCCGATATGGTCGTTTTCGGCCATCAATATGGCCGGAAACGGCCATAACGAAGTCTTCTGGAGCCTCCCGCAGAATTTCCTTCTTTTTTAGGAGCTTCGGCGATTTTCCGACGGTTGTTCGCGGTGGCGGCAGGAGGTAGGGGTGATTTCATCATGAATTAAAGTTTTTTTATAAGCGGGGGTGTTTTAGCTAAATCTGAAATATTGGGGGTTAAAAAATTATTCAAAAATTAAAATAAAATAATATTATAAATATTTAAAAGAGGGTCAATTTAGTAATTTAAATAACATACCCACCAATTTATTCCCATAACCAAACATATTATATAACATACCCACCAACTAACCAAACATATTTTCTTAAAGATTCCCAGTAATCTTCCAAGGTAATCTATCTTCCAGTAATCCAATTTCCCAGTAATCTAACATTCCTGAATCAAACGCCCCCTAAGTATCTAGGATATTTATTGTGATTTTTCTTGGATTCCTTCTATTTTCTTTCCTTATTTGTTTTTATTTATTTCCTAGTTTAAATGGGAGAAAACTTCCATGTCTGGAGGGATTTTCTTACCTGTCAGGTGCAGATTTTATTTCCACTTTCCCATTTTTATATTTATAATTATTTGTTTCTATCTTTTATTTATGATATATATGATATAACTTTATAAATATAAGGATTTGCCAAGCCAAATCTATGACCACCGATGGCCATGGGTGTATTTTTTTTTTAACTTTTCAAAAATATTTAAAAAAAATATTTTTAGTTGTTTATTAAAATCAAAATCTTTAGTTCTAGGTATTTGTCTTCTTTTTTTCTTTCAGTAATTATACAGTTAGATATAATAAATTTGAACTTGGGAATTCTTGGAATATAGTATATGTAGTACCCCAAATGTCGCAGGTAATATATTAAGCATATATACTAAATGGAATACTTTTTATCTTATGATTTTCCTAAACATTCGTGGAGTCTCATATTAATCGTGGGATCATATTCATATTAAATGGAATTAAATTAGATAATAGTTCTTTAATTTTATCAAAATCTTTTTATAATTCTTTAATTTTTCCTTACATGAAAGGAATGCAAACACCTTATAAGTTCAATATTTCAGATAAGTCACAAATTAATTTTATAATAAGTGACCCCAAAGCTTAAATCAGGAAGTCTATGAAGGGAACAAACATCCTTGACTGTCAGACTAAACCTGTTAGGGTTTATATTATTCTTTCTTGTATAGAGTTCTAGTTAAGCAAAGACGGTAATTATGATATTTTCGTTTGATACGAAATCGTGTATCAACAACTGGCATCGTTTGTAAGAATCATGGTGACAACCTGCTCTAGTTATGTAGTGGGGTCGTTAATCCTTAGAAATCAGAATGAACCTCGTGTTGAGAATAAACTGCTGAATGTAATGCTTCCTCCAAGCAAGAAAAAGAAAGCCAGGAATCTTGTTATCGGGGCCAGTGTAACGATGGTGGATCCGTAAGAAGTGCTTCTAGAAACCATCCATATTGCTAGATATAGCCCACTAAACATGAGAAGTTTTACCAATCGAAGGAATTTCCTGGGGAATCGAGATCCCATCATTGATCCAAGTCCTAGTAATCAAACGAAGACCCTTAACCTTAAGTGAAAACCGATAAGCCTCTAGAGAAAAATGTAAGGAGGTAGTAAGCATACAGAAGTTTACAAGTAAGCTCGGTCTAAGCCCAGCGTATTTACATCTTTATCATTTACATTAGACAAAGTGACTCAATTATTAACACATAACTTCCTGATATTTGCATATAATCAAGAGATTATCTAATAACTAGTAATGTTAAAATGGATTACAGTCCCAATTACAGTTAGGGTCCGAAACCCAATGTTTAAACCACTATTCTCTATTCTCATATATCGTAGCCCAGTGTAACCGTTATTGTCTTGTATTCTAAAATTTTCTCACACTTATATTAGAAGATACAAAAATTTCATATTAAATTAATCACATTAACTGTTTTCATAAAAAAATGGCACATATATATATATATATAATGGAACTCAAATAACATAAGTATAGGATTATTATAAGACCAACAACCAAATGATACTATAGGAACGATTTTAAGGACTTAAAATCTTTTATTTGTAGCGTAGAATGTCTTGACAATTAATTTTACAACTTACAATATCACTTAATTTTTTAATTATAAAATAACAAAATAAATATCATATAGATAAGAATAATGTTACATGTTTCAAATAGTATCTCAATTTTTTATCGTAAATGATGTACTTTCTCACATGACGTTAATGTGTAAACAGTTGTCTTGTATGTCCAAAAAGATAGGCCTGTCCGTTTTGGTCAGTTTTAACTCTCTCTTCAAGGATGCCCCTCGTATATTTACCATTTCCAGAAAAACAAATTATGTGTAAACATACCAAATAATTAATAGAGGATTGCAAAATCTAAATTATGATCTCAGAAGAAAAAGAAAGAAGATCACAACAATAAGGAGAATCAGAATGAAATAATGTTATGACAATAGATTTAGTTTGGAAACAAACTCCATATTCTTGACTCAGCTTAATCCAAATACCAACAAGAAAGTTCATAACCCATACAAAAAAATTCAGCAACAGAAGTAACTAGCAGATAATCTGCTAAAGGGGCTCATTTTGTAAACCAGTAATAATTCTGTCCCTTGTTTCTAGCTTTAAGCATTCACAGTGTAAAACCAACTTAATTATCATTTTAATTTATCAAATTTTCATGACATTAACGTAAATTTTTTTTTTTTTTTTGGTTTCCTTAATGTTTTCAGAAACATTTTCATTCAAAAAAAAAAAAAAAAAAACCCTTTTATTCATGTTTCAACTCCCACATCAGTTGGGAAATGATAAGAACCCATTCCCAAATTAATAAGAATTGTTGGATAGTGGGCCTTTGATAGGAATTGGGCTGAGCAGTGGGTCTTTTTGTGGGCTTGGATAGAACTCTCCTTGGAAAACCGGTTTGCCAAAGGAGGGTGGCCAAGCCCTTTATAATCCACATACCTCCATTTTCCTTTCCAATGTGGGATCCTAACATTCCCCCACGCTTCGAGGCCTAACGTCCATGTTGGCCCACTCTGAATGGCTTCAATTTGGGTTGCCCCTACCCAAATCGCCTCTTTCGAAACATCGTTGGCCCACTCTGGACGGCCTACTCTTAGAGGTCGCCCCTTCCAAAACATGGGCTCGAGCAAGGTTTGGCTCTAATACCATTTGATTGGAACCCACTCCCAAATTAATAAGAATTAGTTGAACAGTGGGCGTTTGATAGAAATTGGGCTGGAAAATGGGTCTTTTTTATGGGCTTGAGTAAAACTCTCATTGAAAAATCGGCTTTCCAAGAGAGGGCGCCCAAACTCTTTATAACCCACATGTCCGCTCTTTTTCTATTTAATATGGGATCTTAATAGGAAACTACCCTTTGCATTATTTAGCATGTTCTAGAGCAAAGACAATTTGATACACAAATTGATCTTATTTTTGCTGGACCGTAGGTTCGACCGTAATAGGATTCACATTTATCATAGCAATTTCGTGGGTGATCGCAATTCGGCAAGTCTGGTCGCTGTGGCAGCAGGCAAAGCTTTGGTTGTTGTGCTTCATTTTCTGTGAAAATAAAATCACCCATTAATATTCTGAGTAGGGGATTATTACAAGACCAGCAAGACAGCAACCAATGATAGTATATATGTCATATAAACTACTGTATAAATAAGAATAAGGTGATATCCCTCTCATGTAATATTTTAAATTTGACATTCATGTCGCAAATGATGAGCTAATGTACATAATGATATAGTATTATCAACCAACCCCTGGGTGCTGGAGTGGTTCGACAAAAAATCTTGGGTGTATTACTCAAGAGATCCTGAGTTTAAATCTTTCATCGGTTGTTAATAAGGGTAGCAACTGAAACTTTTATTCGACCAGTAGTTCCAAGGTCTCGGGATAGTAGTTGATGTGCGTATAAGCTGACTTAGACACTCCCGGTCACTAAAAAAAAAAAAAAAAAAAAAGATGTAGTATTATTGAATAAGATGACAAATCGCTTGAAATGTAAAATTTAGAATACTATTCATATTTTTTTTTAAATAAATGACTTGTTACAAGGTGAAATATATATAGCTAAAAAAATTTGGCAACAAAATGGACTTTAGAAAGAACTCTTGATGATCTAGATGCCTAATGAAAATCTATCATGTTGAAGTACTTACCCACAGGCATTAAAAAAACAAGCGCTAGCGTAAACATGATAAACATAAGAAACTTATTCATGTTTTCTCTTTTATAGTACTCTTCAACTCTTGAACTAAAGAAATCTGTGATATTGATGTTGGGAATTCTACTATTTATATTGAGGGATTAACCAGTTAGATGATATCCTAATTAATGAGTATATCTAGTGAGAAAGATATACATGCCAAATAAGTATCCACCTTAATTATTAAGCTTCTTCTTTAGCCTACTCATAGGAATTGAAATTTTCTCAACTAGAGATAATTGATGTATGACAACCTAAAGAATTTTTAGGATTTATCTTGAATTTTATTGAATTCTTTGTTTTTATTTTATTTTACTTTCTTTCCTTATTTGTTTTCATTTATTTTCAAGTTCAAATAAGAAATATTCCCGTACATAACCAACTTTACTAATCTTAATATCCAAACTGTACTTCAAGGGTTTGTTCAAAAACCAATTTCAACTATAAAATCACATAACATAACTTAATTGCTTTTAATTAAAAAATTACAAAGACAAAAATAGTTGGAATATACTAGACTATCAAGTTTGACACCATCTAGCATGATCTAACATGTTTTAATTAGACTGTCAGACCATAATATTAAATATCAGACTCTATTTAGGCTATCAAGTCTAACATAAAATCCAATGATCGACCAATTATATCCTCAATGAAATAATGATAGTCTAGTATATTCCAACTATTTTTGTCTTCGTAATTTTTTTTATTAAAAGCAATTAAGTTAAGTTATGTGATTTTATAGCTGAAATTGGTTTTTGAACAAACCCTTGAAGTTTAACACCATCTAGAATGATCTAACAAGTTTTAATTAGACTATCAAACTCTATTTAGGCTATTAAGTCTAAAATAATCTAACGCTATATATTAGTAATATAATATTTATTATTTCATTGAGGATATAATTGATCAGTCATTGGATTTTATGACTAGATTTGTACTTTAAATAAAAACTGTACATTTTGAGATAGTGGGACTATTAAGTTGGCTATATATGTTCAAACCCCTATATATATGGTACAAAACTTGTATCCGTTATCATTTTCTGTTTTAATTAGTGTTTGGTATTTGGAAACTTTCTTTTCTTATACAATATTAATAATGAAAGGTGTGTTTTATGCTATTGTAAATTTGTAATTATAACCGAGCTTGGTCGATAGTAGATTTTATGTAGCCGGCTCTTCCCCATATTCAAACTAGACCTATTCCACTTCTTGGGCTATGCCGTCCTTGGCCAGTTGCTTCTCATTTCTGAAAGCTAAAACATGACACTCTTCATAAATAGCCTTTCGTATCCTTGTAATAAGTATCAAGATTTTTCCAATAGAATCGCAATTTTTGTATCTCTTCTAATTTTCATTTACATTGTAACCCTTATGGCTTTCAGTCGTGTGTTTGTTGTCTTCATGGTCATTGTCACCATTGTCCCAAAGTTCAATTCTGCAAAAGAGTTCATTGTGGGGGATGATTCAGGATGGACGATAAACTTTGATTACAAAGCTTGGGCAGAAGGCAAGGATTTTCAAGTTGGCGATACACTTGGTAATTACATCTCTTAATTATTTAGTTGAGAATTTGATATTACGTCAGGATCATACTATTATGTCGGAATCATACTGAAATAATATTTTACAGATAATAATCCAATGATGATCAAGAATAGTTCTGATATCATAATGTCCTACTAAAGAATACTCAATTTCTAGCAATTTATAATGATGATAAGCTTTACTGAACTCGAATTAATCTGATTGGAAGTTTGATGAAATTTTGTAGTTTTCAACTATCCTGTTGGAGTTCACAACGTGTTCAGAGTGAATGGAACTGATTTCCAGAACTGCAGTAAGCCACCACTAAGCGAGGCTTTGAGATCAGGAAACGATAAAATTGTTCTGGCAACCCCCGGTAGAAAATGGTACATTTGTGGCGTAGCCAAGCACTGCGAGAACGCTAACCAAAAACTCTTCATAAATGTGCTGCCTCAAACACAATCTCCAGGTGCTGCACCGGCGCCTTCTCCAATCTACACCAAGTTTCACTCATCTCGGGCGTCAAAGAGGCCATTTATTTTTTGGTGAAAGTTCCATTAATAACATGTTTTTATTTTAATTTGTTTGAGAGTGGGATAAGAAGTTTAGAGTTGGGTTGGTTACAGATTGCATGCAATAATTTTTTTTTTATATTTTATAAAAATTAAAGAGAAAACGTTTATCACAATGAGAAAGAAAAGGCCACTGAAGTCTGAACATGTAATATGATATAGAAATGATAGTTCAGTTATCAGTTTGAAAATTTCTATGCATGAGTTTAATGATATATTTTTCCCTTGAATCTTGCTCAGAAATTGGAGAAATACTGGCAGTAAATGGAAATTCATGATAACAAATTATTTAGGGATATAACCTAAATACTTACATACATAAAACTTGAAAATTGAAATAAGCTATTCTTAAAGAGTAATAATACATTCACAATCCAATCTCATAACCTTTTTACAATCTCAACGTGGTAGCTGAGTTGACAACTGTCACATTAATTTTCACTATACCCAAGATACTAAATGATTTTGACTAAACACGATTATTACCAACTTTGTTATCAAATTAGGGTTGTAAGATTGGATTGTAAACGTAGTATTTTTTATTCGTAAATGAAATCACATGCAACCAAAACCTCAAGTAAGAATTTCACATTGTGCATGTCTGTAATTGGGTCGATGGAAAAAGCCAAAATCTTCATTTTCAATTTCATTTCTTCATCAAGTTAATTAATTATATCTTAACTTGATCCGGCACCCCTATACATAATACAAGTAAGTATTTCTAAATGGCATGAAACACGTTTACAAGGTCTTAATTAGTTTGTTAAAGCGACAGTTGAAAAAACAAAAGATAGGAATGTTTGTTGGACACCATGGCAGCATTATGCTGTTCAGTCCAAAAAAATCATAGATAATTAACTACTAATTAATGAATTCTTGTATATGTAATTGTCATAAGCTAACAAATTGTTATATTCAGTGTCTTCCCTTGCCTCATTTGAGGGTGACACAAGTAAATTTGTTATGCGAACTGTTGCAACTTTGAGGTTTTTTTTTTTTTTTTTTTTTTAAATTAATAAACCTTATTTAGAAAATAAAACCAGATATTTGCTTCTCCTTTAATTTTTAAAAATTAATTAATTAATATAAACTTTTTTTTTTTTAATTGAAAATGTTAACATCACACTGAAAAAGAAACTATTGATGGGTCAAAGACAAATTTTTGTATAAAATTTTTATGAATATCCGCGTAAAAAAAATGTCCCTAGAGAAAAGTTTAATTGGTTAGATCTCTTGTTTCAAGAAGAAAGTGGGCTAGAGATCAAAATTTCCCTCTTATCGGCTTTGGAGGACGATCAGTTTAATCACATTATGCGGCTTTAATTGCCACTCTACATAAAAAGACCACATCATACCTTAAGAATAAACCAATTTTAATTATTGTAATTAAAACTTTTATTCCTCCAATCAAATCATATATTTATATATAAGTATACAAGAATTTAGAGGATTCCCCCCAAAAAAAAAAAAAAATTACTTAAACAAAATTTCACGGATATATCATCTATAGACTGAATTGAAAAAATGTATGCATTAAAATCATTTAAGAATTCAAATATGGAAAAAAATATAAAGATTAACAATTAATACATTTGTGTTTATTAAGCGAAGGAAAAGAAGAAACAAAAGAGGAGAGAGAAAATAATTTATCATAAATGTGTTAACTTCAATGTACTATCTATTAAATGAGGTGTGTATACAATCAAATCTCAGTCATTGATTAATGTTTAATTTAAAGGTTAAAAATCGATGTAAAAAGTAGAGTGAAATTAAGGGGCTGTTTATTCTGCCAAGTGCCATGTATACATTTGTAAATGAATCTTACAAATTTTTTCATACAAGTCTAATGTAATAATTAATAATTGATTTATGATAAATTTATCGGACAAGAAAAATTATCAAAAACCAACTATCAATTATTATGTTAGGTTTGTGAAAAAAAGTTCGTGAGATTTGTTTGTCAGAATAATATTATTCGTACATATGTAAGTGTGTTGAAATTCGTGAATAATAAAAAAATAGAAAACACATGAAATTGCTTAGAAACCTAATTTGAAATTTATCCGAAAATTCTCCCTCCAGACGTGACCACCAATGAGGAAAAAATTAATAAGCTAGTGAGTTTTGTATCTTGGCCAACCTTTAAGGTAGCTCAGTAAAAAATTATCCTTAAAATTTGACTAAATTTTAATTTATTTATGCTAACGATAGGAATTTTGGGCATTATATATACATCCACAATCTTTAATTAATCTGGTTTATCTTCTAATTTTCTACTTTTATAAAACATGACCAAATGGATTCTAAATCGTATAATATAATATGCATGATAGTAGAAAACTATGTGAAAAAAAAAGGCCGAACCTCGAGCAAGTTAAATTTATTTTGAAGCTAAACCATGTTGTAATCATCTCCAATCATTCTACATAAACTGTTCTCTAGCTAGATAACTCATTCATGTCAATCCTATTCTCCTTGGGCGGCTAATGGCTATGCCGTCCTTAGCCGTTGGTTCACAAAAACCAAACCCTAGCAACACTATATATATATATATATATATTTGGACTTGGGCAGTCGCAAAACACATCAAACTCTAGTAGTTAATTACACCTCAGGGAGTTCTCATAATATTCTTGTGCTAGAAAATAAAGTTTATAGCGACACTCGATATGGGTTTGAGTCGTGTATTTGTTTTACTTTTGGTCGTCGCCACATTTGGACCGATGATCACTCTCTGCAAAGGACTTCTCGTTGGAGATCAATCGGGTGGACAGTTGGGTTTGATTACCAAGGTTGGGCTCTGGCAAGGAGTTTCATATAGGAGACAGACTTGTAGTTCCATCCTCGATCGGTTTACTAAATAAATTAAAGGTCTACTTATTTGATTATTATCCTAATGCGAGTGATTTGATTGATATATGCAGTTTTTAATTACCTGCGGGAGCACACATGTGTACAAAGTGAACGGAACTGATTTCCAAAGCTGCAATGCCCGCTGGAAGGCGCGCCGTTAACCATGGAAATGATACCATTGTTTTGGCAACTTCAGGGAAAAAATGGTACATTTGTGGCGTGTCCAACCACTGTGATCAAGGACAAAAACTGGTTATAACAGTGCAACCTCAAGCATTACCCCCAAGTGTGGCACCTGCTCCTTCTCCTTGGTCATATTCAGAAGGGAGCAAGAGGCCATTTTTCAACTTTAACTACCATGATCAATCAGTACTCAAGATTGTGACGATGGTCAAGGATATTAAATTATAGTTAATTTAGTTTTGAAGTTTAATTAAATAAAAATGGTGACTGCAGTTAGTAACTGCATTGTAGTAGATTGATTAAGGGAGTCATTTTTAGTTAGTTAAAGTTATGTTTGATTTCTTAGCTATGTACTAGTTTGAGAGAGTTCGACTAATAAATATTGTGGCGGGGAAGTTATTAAAAAGACATTTGAAGTTTACATTTATTAAAAGGCTATCAAGTTTTGAAATATTAACTAAATAGCCATATTTTGATTAAGGTAATTAGTGCTTAATTAGGATTAATGTAATCTTTTCAAAATTACTATTATTTCCACAAACCGAAATTGTTGCAAATAAACCCAAACTTCTTCCTCCCGCCATTAACGCATCTCTACCTGCATCTTCTTCTCTCTTCTTGGCGTCGTCAACATCTTCTTCTTCTCTCTGCTCTTTCTTCTCTTCCTCCTTCCTGTACATCTTCTTCTTCCTCATTCCTCTACATCTTCTTCTTCCGCATCTCTACCCCAGCCATACACTTTCTTCTTCCTCCCACCATTAACATCTTCTCCGGCAAAGATCCCCCTCCTCCTCCTCCTGACATTTCGCCTAAGTATGTGTTATCTCCTTTTTACATTTTATATTTAGATTTACAAAGATTAATAATGGATGGGGTTTGGTTATGATTTTGATTTAGTTGTTTAGGTTGTTGGGTTGTTTTGATGTAATGTAGGTTGAAAGGAGTGAAATTTGTTGAAAATTAGTTCTGGGTATTTTTTCTGGGTATGATGGATCGATTGTAGGTGGAGATGACTGAAAAGTGTTCTGGGCACGATGGATCGCTTAAACGATCCGGTGTATCGCTTAAGCGATTCGGTAGGTCTGGTAATGCAGCAGATAGATCGCTTAAGCGATCGGGTATGTGGCATAAGATCGCTTAAGCGATCTGGTTAAAGTCTGTTGTATGGGAGCAGATCGCTTACGCGATCAGTAAATGGCATAAGATCGCTTAAGCGATCAAGGTTATTTATATTAATCGCTAAGCGATCAGGTTGTATCGCTTAAGCGATCCTATATAATAACCTGATCGTTCAAGCGATACATCAGACCAAATATGCGAATGTGCAGATTCTTTTTAAACTATTTGAACCCTTAGTACATCATTTAAGAATTTGTTTTTCTTGCATTACAGGTAGTTCTATATATACATGGGAAAAATTATTTTGGGTGTTGAATATTTTGGTGAGTGGGTGGGGAAGAAAGTGTGGAAGTGGATTGGGAAGAGCAAGAAGTTCACAATTGCTGTGAGCACGGAGGTTAGTTTTGATGAGTTGTTTGATGAAATAATTAGAAGGGTAATTTGAGTTGCTCGCGTAGTGATTAGTTGTGATTATGCTTTACAGCAGCTCCTGAAAATTATAAGGTACCCTCCTGCTTTATTAAAGTCGGATGAAAGTGTGAACTTATTTATTATTGATATGCCATAGTGGTTCGAGGCCGATTTTAAGGGTTCTTATGTAGAAAAACCGTGGAAGTTGGTTCCAAGGAAGGGGATAACGGATGTAGGCGGAGATTTGTCTGGTTTTAATTTGAACTACGAGGCCATTGATTTGTTAGCTGAAAAATCAAGAGTAGACGGTCAATTGGGTGTGAGGAGGACACTATAGAAGAGGTTGGTGATGGGGGCAGAATGAAAATGTTGAGGAGGAGGCCCCCGTAGATGTTCCCACAGATGTAGAGATTCCTTTAAATACAGATTATGCAGAAGCGTAGATTGTGAGGAAGAGAACACTATGGTCGTTTATGCGTTCAAGGGGGCAATTGGAGGTAGTAGTGGATCAGCTCATGTCTTTACGGATGGATCGGACTTGCTATAGGGTATTTATTTG